TTTGGTATTATTACAATGTCCAGTATTTAGCTTGTATTAAGACATATTTTGGTATTATTACAATGTCCAGTATTTAGCTTGTATTAAGACATATTTTGGTATTATTACAATGTCCAGTATTTAGCTTGTATTAAGACATATTTTGGTATTATTACAATGTCCAGTATTTAGCTTGTATTAAGAAATATTTTGGTATTATTACAATGTCCAGTATTTAGCTTGTATTAAGAAATATTTTGGTATTATTACAATGTCCAGTATTTAGCTTGTATTAAGACATATTTTGGTATTATTACAATGTCCAGTATTTAGCTTGTATTAAGACATATTTTGGTATTATTACAATGTCCAGTATTTAGCTTGTATTAAGAAATATTTTGGTATTATTACAATGTACAGTATTTAGCTTGTATTAAGACATATTTTGGTATTATTATAATTTACAATCTTCAGCTTTTAGTAAACTGATGATGTATTTTTACAATTCAAACTCTTTGTTTTATAGTGAAGTATACTTTGGTATTACATAATGTACTATAATTTTCAACCAGTTTCTGTTAGTAAACTATTTAATACCTAAACGAATACTTTTGTCATTAATGGAAAATATCTTGGTATGTTTTCTATATCTTGCTCAGTCTATTGACTAAAAGATATGTTTTGTAACGTCTTGTGAGCTCATCTCCAAATCAAACTTCTTGTCCGATCTGAAAACACATCGGTAACTTTATGTATATTGTTCAGATACTGGTCTCGGATCGCAGGAGCAAAGTGTTAAACGAGCTCCTGATTTTTGGCCTTTACTATATTGTTGAATATTTTATTGAAATCCATATATGAAACATAGTTACAAGTAGCCTTTTGTTAATAATTACTTCATTCCGTCAGATATTATGGACTTTGTTAATAATTTACTAGATTGTAACACCAGTCCTCACTGCGCTATGTTCAGTTTGTGTTTAAAACAATAAAGCGTCCATACATCAGATGGTGCGGTTTTAGGGATAGCCGACACCACGCTTAATGTTACTCTCGTCGCGACAAACCCGCCACTGTGTTACAATACACCTGGTTTTTATAAATTTATCATACTTCTCTAATCGAATTACGTTGGTTTTCAAATGCTGAAAGGATACTGTCAGCTGATGAACTCTGACAGATATTAGTTACGTATGAGGCTTTGTTGATTTGTTTACCGTAAGTGAATGTCCACTGCAGACCGTTGGTAATTAAACACAGCATACACCTGGTTTATATTCAAAACCCCCGCTCAATAAAACACCTGTTATATTGCGCGTGCGCGCTTGCGGTGTTTCCCAGCACGTATTGTTCTACACATAGGGGCCATATGGCATAAGAGACTGAACAACCACACGGTTTTTAGAAATGTGTTAATTTTAATATGCGGTTGTGTTAAGTAATTCGCCCTGACATATATGTACAATGTACTGAGAATTTTTAATTAGAGATGAACTGACGATTGTCAGCTCCGTATCCCAAGGGCGTTAGGTTAAAGCAGTGACACGTCAAACGCTGGACTGGCATACATGTGCTGCAAAACATGTTAATATAAAATGTTATCAATATAAAACGAGGTAACGATAAAATCCAGCTTAAATCCCGAACTAGATGGATCAAATCCTGTATGAAAATTGCAGATAATTTCCTTGGATTTCGGCAGAATCATTTTATTAATTATTTATCTATTTTGTATGAAGGAAAGAAATACAACATCGAACACTAAGGTACACTGTCCGCAGCACACACTTACCAGAAAGAATCGAAATGTTATTTTAAAATGTTCAACGTTTTAACCATTTATCTGATGTGTGACGTCGCCAGTACAGACACTGAGTTTCAATTTCTACATAATACCCAATGGTATTTCAATATCTATTAAAGCCTGACATTTCGTCTCATACTAATGGATAATCCATTCTTGTACTTTTTTATCTTTGTTTTTCGTAATTATTTTTCTTATGTCGTGTTTCTAGAATCAAGAAAAACAACATTGATTAAATATACATGTATAAATGCAAAGTTTCAGTTATGGTAGTTACTTAATTCGAATCGATATCCGGTACTTATTTGATCATGTATGTATAATGGTAAGTGCTATTATATCATTATGTACATACAATGTATATAGATTCAATTATACTCATATTAACATCAAACTGTTTAAATAGTTTGTATAACTAGTGATGTTACAGTGACATTCTCACACTCTACTCATTTATGTTCTAGGAAGATAATGCTAGGTTTGTGACATGCTGTCGATATGTACTGATCACAGAATCAGGTGTGGAAGATGCGACAGCTGGTTCGTCCTCCGCATCGCGAGTTAGAATACCCTGATCCCTGCTTGCCAGCTGTGATCTTATGCAAAAATACCCTTGCACTGTTTGAGTCTTTGTTAATGCCTCGATTACTGTATGTTTCCTATTGATAATCCGATTACTTTTTTCTTTAACCTTGCGAATTTTACGATCGAATCTTTCATATTTGGTGTCCAAGCCACATAATTCGTTATTTCCCACGTTAGAGCTGCCGATGTAGCGGCGTAGAACACACAGGGATTCGCCTTATGGCAAATCTTCATGTAGTTGAGTTTTAATGGAAATATAATAGAAATCACTTCCAATTTCCTTAAAGTCTGATCACTTTCAGAGAAACCGTTTCCGTGTATTTTTTAAAACTTGTCATAATTAAGCTTATTTGAAAGAAGACACAAGCGCACGTGTTGCGAAAATATTGTTTCAAAAATATATCCAATGGCCACTAATTCTGCCACGACTGTCATGTCAATTATACGACGTTCATAACCGTTTTCTTTAATGTCACGAAACATCATTAGAGCCAATTTTGTTACATTTAACAAGTAAGTAGCACGTGCCTTTCGAAAATATTTTTCATTTCGATAGATTTATTTTCAAATTATTTAAGCATATTTTTCCATTTCGTCTCTAATGAGGACAAAAGCGGAATAGGTACCTGCACATTGTTGCCTCACCTGTGGTTTACGATGCTACTTGATACAGTAATGACAGTTCTGTGACGACAACTGACGTTCACATGTCACATTTTACCGAGACGACGTGAGATGAAGTCCCGCAGTAATGACGTGATATCCGGTAATCAATGCACACCCAGTCTCCAATTAGTTGCAAGTGTCATTTTTCCCAGCGTCAACAAGTTTTGGAATGTATCAAAAAATTTCCTTCTTTCAAAATAAAAAGTCATTTGAAATATTTTTTGAAATCTTGAACATTGATAGTTACCAAAACCGCAGGTTTTACAACGGCTCCTTCCATGATGTATTTACCTATACAATGGACACCTATCATAGTGTACATACCTATACAATGGGCACCTACCAAAGTGTACCTACCTATACAATGGGCACCTACCATAGTGTACCTACCTATACAATGGACACCTATCATAGTGTACATACCTAAACAATGGGCACCTACCATAGTGTACATACCTATACAATGGACACCTACCATAGTGTACATACCTATACAATGGACATCTACCATAGTGTACATACCTATACAATGGACACCTACCATAGTGTACCTACCTATACAATGGGCACCTACCACAGTGTACATACCTATACAATGGACACCTACCACAGTGTACATACCTATAAAATGGACACCTACCATAGTGTACCTACCTATACAATGGACACCTACCATAGTGTACATACCTATACAATGGGCACCTACCATAGTGTACACCTATACAATGGGCACCTACCATAGTGTACATACCTATACAATGGACACCTACCATAGTGTACATACCTATACAATGGACATCTACCATAGTGTACATACCTATACAATCTACATCTACCATAGCGTACATACCTATACAATCTACATCTACCACAGTGTACATACCTATACAATGGGCACCTACCACAGTGTACATACCTATACAATGGGCACCTACCACGGTGTACATACCTATACAATGGACACCTACCACAGTGTACATACCTATACAATGGGCACCTACCACGGTGTACATACCTATACAATGGACACCTACCACAGTGTACATACCTATACAATGGACATCTACTATGGTGTACATACCTATACAATGGACATCTACCATAGTGTACATACCTATACAATGGGCACCTACCATAGTGTACATACCTATACAATGGACATCTACCATAGTGTACATACCTATACAATCTACATCTACCATAGTGTACATACCTATACAATGGACATCTACTATAGTGTACATACCTATACAATGGACATCTACCATAGTGTACATACCTATACAATGGACATCTACTATAGTGTACATACCTATACAATGGACATCTACCATAGTGTACATACCTATACAATCTACATCTACCATAATGTACATACCTATACAATGGACATCTACCTTAACGTACACAACTAATACAATGGACAACAACCATAGTGTGTACATATATTCAGTGGACACCGCTGACAGTTGAAAGGGCAGTAACTCTGACAGGAAAATAAGGATTGTCAGTCAAGCTAAATGTTTGTATAACCAACCATATTTGATGCAAAATGTCTCATAAATCAATATTTGATGACAGCATCTAGATGAAACATAATAAAATATTGATGAAAACAATTTCAATTATACACATTATCCAACCCCTTTCATGCTGTCCTTCCAAGCCTTTTCTCAATACTGACTTATTTTGGAAAAGAAAGAGAGTTTGTAAGGAAAAAAAATCATAGAAATCCAGAATGTTAGCTGGAAAGGGAAACAATCACATGTTGATTTCTGAGTTTTAAATGCCCCAAGGAAAATTCATACCATTTTCCCTTCATTTCTATTACTAAAGTTAAGTGATAATGTGAATATCAATGAGTCCTTTTTTTAAATGTGGCTTGGACATATCTAATATCTGATATGTAGTGTTTCAAAGTGAAAAATCCATATAAAACAGAAAAATTAAAACAAACAAACAAGGATTAAACAATCTCTAAAGGAATAGTTTTATTCTTCATGTTATAAATGTGACATCTGACTAGAATTTCCAGTCGTATGTTTTACTGTAACATAGGTGTTATATGATCAGGATATCCAGCAAGAGTAGCCTCCCCTCATAGCTTTACAGTACATTATACAGGTGATAAGTCATTGATACAAACATTATATATTTTAAATGTCATTGTGACAAGGACATCATGCAGGAGTAGTCTCCTCTCATATCTTTACAGTACATTATGTAGGTGATAAGTCATTGATACAAACATTATATATCTTAAATATTATTGTGACAAGGACATTATGCAGGAGTAGTCTCCCCTCTCAGAACAATACTTTACATATGTGATATGTCATTGACAGAAACATTAGGCAAAGTAGTCTCTCCTCCAATTAACCAAGTCCCCGTTCCAATACCTTTATATAGCATTTATTACATGTAATAAATTATATGTACAGGTATATCTCTTTATCACTTACTTAAAATAATTTTTAGTCACTGTAGACATAATTTTTTAACTCCAAATGGAGTTAGGGTATCACAAAAGATTGCATATATCAACATTAACAATTAGTTTGTTTAAAACAGGCTGTAGTTTTTACCCCTTGGTAGTGTGAATATTGAGAGTACACTCCAAATAAAAAATGGCCACAATTTTGTTATGTCATAAACACTTTATTAAGAAGAACTTCGGAATTTCCTCCTTACAATACTTGTGATTTTCTTTTTGATGTTTGCATTCACATTTTCAAGTTGTGCTGATTTTCTTGCTGCAGTCTACAAAAAATGGAAGAAAAAAAGGTTAGAATGAAGAAAAGTACATAAGGCTGAAAATCAGAAATAATCATTAACTACTACCTTCAATGAGAGCGTTTTGATCAAGAAATTTCTGATTTGATAACTAACATCAATTAAAACATTTGTTCTTGAATCTTTTTAATTTGAAATGATTATTTTTTATTTTCTTGACTTCAAACAGGTTCCAGTATTTTGATAACCACCTTTTCCTTACTGTTTGAATACTACTTACCTCTATATTCCAGACTAGTTTGACATCCCATCTCTGTGTTACAAAGCTGACCACTCTCCCATTGTCCTCAGCTCCCACACGTCCTACTCTCCCTGCACGGTGGATGTAGTCAGATACAAACTGAGGAAGGTCAAAATTAATCACCTGCTGCACCTGAAACATGAGTTACATAGAAAGGTAGTTTTAAACAGATTATAACATTTTCTTAATACAAAAAAAAAGAAAAAAAGTTTATGACCTTTTACTGTGATAGCAAAGACAAAACCATGAACTGCAAACACACCTTTCTGTAGATATGTATCAAGTCTGAGGTTTTTGAAATTTTTTTTATAAGATACATGTAACAAATGGAAAATACGATACAATCCTTCGGGTGGATATTGTAAATGAAAATGGATTTTAAGCATGTTAACAACATGATCGTTGATGTCAATTTTGATCCCTACCCGTAGTGTATCCAGGCCTCGGGAGCAGATGTCTGTACACACAAATATATTGGCGGCTTCATTCTGGAAATTTGAAAATCTGTTCCTCCTCAGCTGAAATACAAATAAGAAACAACTTTTGGCTGTTAGGTTAAAGTGCATTCACATAACACAACAAAACAACACATAAATTGTAGGTTTGTTCTTAAACCTTGAATTCTTGCTAAAAAAAGAGAACTAAACCCACTGATGGTGAAATAAATACTGGTATAATTTCAAGTTAAGTACTAAATACTGGTTTATTTCAATGGTGCAATTTAAGGTTAAAAGCTAAATATTGGTTTATTTTAATGATCCAATTTAAGGTTAAGTGATAATATTGATTTATCTTAATGGTGTAGTTTAATGGAAAGTGTTCAACATTGGTGTATTCTCCCATCATAATGATTTAATTGGTATACGTTTTAATAGTAGGTAATGGAAATGGTAAGTGTTAAACATTGTTATTGGTATATTTTCATGGTTGGATACTTAAACATTGATGTACTGTGATGGTAATGTTAAACATTTAGAATATTTTCTGATAATTATTTAAAATATGACAGCATGGATGAAATATAACAACAAACTGTGACAACACACCTTGCCATCCATCTGAGCATTTAGGACAATGTTATGAATCCCATGCTCCACTAATAACTTATGTAGCCAGAAACATGTGTCACTTTTGTTACAGAAAATCATGGTTGGTATGTTGTTGGTCAGATTTTCCTTTGTAATGTTCAGGATCTCATCTGCAAGATAAAAATATCCAGTCAGTAAATGGGTCAACATATCATTCAATAACCACTAGGAATTCATGCAACAAGTTAGTGAATATCATCACACATTGAGAATGTCCAAAGACAACAAAGCTGTTAGTATGTGATAATCAACATCACAAGTTGTATGTACAATACACAGGATCATGAGACATAGAAACAAGTCTGGGAGGCCGTAGAGATAAAACACTGTAAACCTTTCAGTCTCTGTAGGAAGAGATCAGGAATATCTTAACATGCCCAAGGACACTATTAATCTGTCAAACACAAGGCTTACTGTGGATGGCAAATGAATTATTGTCTTAACAAAATATCATTCTTGTGCACATCACATGCTTACAAAACATCAAATACAATTTAAAACTTTAAATAATTTTGATTTTAATAATAAATTGTGTATTGAGTTTGGATTTTGACAACACAGGATTTTCAGTTTTGAGAATAACACCAGATTTCAGAAGCCGAGGAACTCTAATGTACCATGGTATGTGTACCTGATAAAAGTTGTTCCACTTCCAGGTCACGTGAGTAACATCACTTAAATGGTTTTCAGAATGTGTAGAGAGTACATGTAGCTTGTCTCAACCTATAGGGAACCTACTGGGAAAAGGTTTAGATTTACCTGTCCAGGGTAACAGAATCTTTTATATCTGAACAGTATTTTAATCAACCTTATCTTGGATTAAAGAAGCTTATCACTGACAATTAAGGCCAATTTGATCCCTATTGGCCCAACCTCTAGAGACCCAAAGCTAGTGGACTTAAAATTAACAATCTTGATCCATATTTTGGCCAAGGAGAAGAAGATGTGTGAATGTGAATTGTTTATGAAAGCACAGCTACCGATGATGACGGACAAAAGACAATGTTAATAGGCCACTTCAGACATTGTCACAGGTAATTTAAGAAATATTGAGTATTTCTTCATGGTGTAGTTATGTCTTACCAGCTTTCTGCTCATGATGGAGACGTACAAATGTCTGGGGAACATGTGGCATCAGTCGATGTAAGCTGTCTGTCTTTATTTTCTTGAAAGATTCAATCTGAAATTAATAATTTAACAAAAAACTTTAAAAGCCACAAATAATTTATTACATAATTACAGTGACATCAGTGTAACAACACCCATTGAGTAAATATTTGTTGTGATGTGTAATGTGTCCTGATGGAGCTGGCTGAAGGTTCTCGTTGTTTCCATCCTGAAATCCTGTCTTTTTGTCATCATGTACCGGTATTGTCACGATATCACCAATTTAGCTTTTGTATCAGTCTAATAAAATGCTATTTTAGAAAATGAGCAGAAAGTAAGTAATATCAATTGAATGGTAGTTCTTATAACACAACCAGCAGAAGATTAGAGTGTGATATTTTGATGACTACACTGTCACTTTCTTCAGACAAATGACAAGTGTGCAGAGTACTAGCAATGATTATCAACCAATTTTTAGGGCTGTACTAAAATCTTTTGTAAAATAATCCTGATAAATGATGTTTCCACTAAAGCTTGGAAAACTTGCTGTGATAAACAGAATTTTACAAGAGTTTCCATGAGATCTATTGAACCTGTCACTAATATTTCATTTTATGAATGAAAACCCATTAAGATCTACTATAGACTGACTTTTTTAGAGTCCAAATATCATCAAGTCAACAAGTTTAATCAGGCAAGTAAATTAATGAGCTGGTACATGTAAGATCATGTGTAGAGGCACTACCGTAATCCCAGTGGAAAAGATGAAAACTAGAAACTGATTTCTAATTGTAATGTGACTTTACCTCTATAGGAGTGTTGGTACATAGGATCACAGACAACAGATCAACATACCCAATAGGATCACAGACAGCAGATCAACATACCCAATAGGATCACAGACAACAGATCAACATACCCAATAGGATCACAGACAGCAGATCAACATACCCAATAGGATCACAGACAACAGATTAACATACCCAATAGGATCACAGACAACAGATTAACATACCCAATAGGATCACAGACAGCAGATTAACATACTCAATAAATACGGTTGACAGACGTAGGGTGTTCACTGCTGAACATTTAGACTCATAAAATAACATCACACTGAGACGGAAATCAGGTTAGGATGAATTATCTGCCCTTACTTTGACATGTTATAGACAGATGGCAGCCAGACTACCAAATCATGCCTGATATAAAGGTGGCCTATGGCACTACATATACCTTACACTGTTGTATACGAAGATAGGAGTTGTCTACCCTTACCTCTATATGGTTCCCCAGGACAGTTTCCAGATAACGTGGCATGGTGGCGCTGACCAGCAGTAACTGTGTGCTATGCATGTTTACCTGGTCTTCTGTTAGGCCATCAGACACAATAATCTGTAAATGACAATATTGGTACAAACTTGTTCATTGTTTTCTGTTCCTCACTTTGACAGTCCTGTGTACATCTCATAAAAATATAATTACTAAATATATGTATATCATTGCAATTTCACATTTAAATATTCTTGTCAAAACATAGCTCATTCTGAATCTTATATCTTGGCATATTTTGACCTTTACAATTTCATAATTTACAATTTTAACAAACTTGGTAGGGTTTATGCAAAATGAAGTGTAACTAAATATTGAAATTCATTTCACTTTGTTGAATAGAAGTCGTTTGAAGATTTTACATTGACCTCTGTGGGCTTGAATGAAGGTCAAGGTCATTCTTTTTAACAAACTTGGTAGGGCTTCATCAAAGCAAGCTACAGGCCAAATATTAGTTGCCTGGGCCTTCCAATTATTGAGAAGAAGTCGTTTGAATGAAAAGTTTACGGACGGCGCATGGCGGACGGCGCACGGCGAACGACGACGGACGAAGCATGATGACTATAGGTCATCGGACCCTTCGGGTCAGATGACCTAAAAATATAATTACTAAATATATGTATATCATTGCAATTTCACATTTAAATATTCTTGTCAAAACATAGCTCATTCTGAATCTTATATCTTGGCATATTTTTCTTTACAATTTCATAATTTACAATTTTATACAATTCTGAATTATGCAAAATGAAGCGTAACTAAATATTGAAATTCATTTCACTTTGTTGAATATAAGGATGCCTGCGACTGTATATTGCCTCTTTAGGCTTGAGAAAGGGCAGGTAAGAATGAAAAAAAAAATATCAAGAATTGTCAGAGACACAGAAGGGTTATGCTAACTGAATTGGACAAAATTTAAGCATGAAAAATAACGAAGGGCAACAACTCCTAAATCATGCAAAAGAGAGTTATGGTTCTTATGTGATGTAATCATCTTTGTTGAGATCTACCTACCAAAGTGTGTTATGTTAAGGACAAAATTTTGATGGATGGACAAATGGACAGTTTAATGGATGGCTCAACAGACAGAAGGACAGACAAAGCAACATCTATATGCTCTCTCTTCAGGGAGCATAAAAAAACAAAAATAATAACCTGCATGATAGTGTCAGCAATGGCAGGGAGCTAGACCTATCCTAACACATCATACCAAGAGAAATTGCCTTTGTGTGATCACCTTGCATGAGTGGTAAGTACAAGTCTGTCAAGGCCCATATTTCTGTTGTACAGATATAGCTTTAAATATCAAACACTACCTAGGTACACTACACAACTATACAGAATCAACACCCACACATGTGTTATGGGCACTAACATACATACTTGTAAATGCTGCATTACTTTCTTGATGACATCGCTGAAACTGTCATCCAGCAAGGTGTCTGCCTCATCCAGTATCAAATGCTGACAATTGGCACCACTAAGCTTACCTGTGAAATCATAGAAACAAACTAAAATATCCCTCTAAGACAAGAAATTCCTGCTCTCCAAAAATCTTGGATCTTTCCTTGAAAAATTTCCTTAAGGTGACAGTGAATATGACCTTGTACCTAAAACAACAGCATTGATCTATTTTCCAATCCAATATTTGTATCAAATTCAATTTAAATAATTTGGTATTTTTCAAAAATCTGTTCTAAGACCGCTTTTATTACGTTTAGTACTTAGTATCTATAGTTGTATCAATAAGAACTGGAATAATAGTAACTTTATGGTGTATAACATCTGGATTAGTGTTGACTTGATGGTGTATAACAACGTGGTTAGTGGTGACTTGATGGTGTATAACAACGTGATTAAAGGTGACTTGATGGTGTATAACAATGTGATTAGTGTTGACTTGATGGTGTATAACATCTGGATTAGTGGTGACTTTATGGTGTATAACAACGTGATTAAAGGTGACTTGATGGTGTATAACAATGTGATTAGTGTTGACTTGATGGTGTATAACATCTGGATTAGTGGTGACTTGATGGTGTATAACAATGTGATTAGTGGTGACTTGATGGTGTATAACATCTGGATTAGTAGTGACTTGATGGTGTATAACATCTGGATTAGTGGTGACTTGATGGTGTATAACATCTGGATTAGTGGTGACTTGATGGTGTATAACATCTGGATTAGTGGTGACTTGATGGTGTATAACATCTGAATTAGTGGTGACTTGATGGTGTATAACATCTGGATTAGTGGTGACTTTATGGTGTATAACAATGTGATTAGTGGTGACTTGATGGTGTATAACATCTGGATTAGTGGTGACTTGATGGTGTATAACAATGTGATTAGTGGTGACTTGATGGTGTATAACATCTGGATTAGTGGTGACTTGATGGTGTGTAACATCTGAATTAGTGGTGACTTGATGGTGCATAACATCTGGATTAGTGGTGACTTGATGGTGTATAACAACGTGATTAGTGGTGACTTGATGGTGTATAACATCTGGATTAGTGGTGACTTGATGGTGTATAACATCTGGATTAGTGGTGACTTGATGGTGTATAACATCTGGATTAGTGGTGACTTGATGGTGTATAACATCTGGATTAGTGGTGACTTGATGGTGTATAACATCTGGATTAGTGGTGACTTGATGGTGTATAACATCTGGATTAGTGGTGACTTGATGGTGTATAACAATGTGATTAGTGGTGACTTGATGGTGTATAACAATGTGGTTAGTGGTGACTTGATGGTGTATAACAATGTGATTAGTGGTGACTTGATGGTGTATAACAATGTGATTAGTGGTGACTTGATGGTGTATAACATCTGGATTAGTGGTGACTTGATGGTGTATAACAATGTGATTAGTGGTGACTTGATGGTGTATAACAATGTGATTAGTGGTGACTTTATGGTGTATAACATCTGGATTAGTGGTGACTTGATGGTGTATAACATCTGGATTAGTGGTGACTTGATGGTGTATAACATCTGGATTAGTGGTGACTTGATGGTGTATAACAATGTGATTAGTGGTGACTTGATGGTGTATAACATCTGGATTAGTGGTGACTTGATGGTGTATAACAATGTGATTAGTGGTGACTTGATGGTGTATAACATCTGGATTAGTGGTGACTTGATGGTGTATAACATCTGGATTAGTGGTGACTTGATGGTGTATAACAATGTGGTTAGTGGTGACTTGATGGTGTATAACATCTGGATTAGTGGTGACTTGATGATGTATAATATCTGGATTAGTAGTGACTGGTGTTTTCCAACAAAATGAATACATTGTGCTACTTTTATAAAAGGATAACCTTTTATCTGTAAGAGATTTCAAAAATCTGTCCTACCTGATTTGAAGAACTTCAGCAGTGTCATGGGAGTTGAGATAACAATATCCATGTCTTCTTTTCCAAGATATTTTATGTTTTGCTGCAAACAAATGAAGAATCAAATTGATGTGAACCTATAGAGTCTTGAAACTAACACAAGTGTATAATCCTTTTCAACAATTTTCACACTGCAGAACTATTCTCACCCAACTTGTCACATCATATAAACAAAACAAACATGTACAATGTATTCAAAATTTCTAAAATGTCTAGAAATATCAAGGTTTGATACTAAACATCCAGACACATATAACAATATGATGTTTACAATAAAAAATCTATCTATCTGAATATTTGACAACAAATTAGATTTCTATGGAGGAGTATTCATACATCTAAAATATATGTTGACCTAGTGCCGGTCTCAGACAAAATAATTCCTTTGAGTGGTATATGTTAAACTGTTCTATTACATGAGTGGATTGGTTTCTGGATATTGTAAGTAATAAAAAAAAGTTCAATGGTTAATTAATACCTAATCTGATGAGATTAAATGTGACTTTCCCTTTTTAATTAATTTATTTATTTATTTTAACAGGTTTTACGTCCACTATTACGACCTTTTGGTCTTTCAGCACACAAGTCCCTCTTTAATGTAGGGAGGCTTAACATATACATATACATATAATGAGAGAGGCCCAATTAGAGGCGTGCACAGCTGCCTAATAAGAAACAGAAGTCAAGGTAATGGTGAGTTATGACCTCCAGTAGTCATGGTCAGTCATTATATTCCAGCTTACATTCTTAACTATTGGTAAAGAAAAGGGCAATGCACATGTATGATTTCACTTGGAGATTTTTAAATTGAAAAATGTCAATTAAAGAAAACTGACATTTTGGAAATAAAATCATGTTCTTCTGGTCACATTTGAGAGAATTATGAGGAATTGATAAAACTTTCGTACAGCTTTCAGGAAATCTGTTATACTGCGAATGACAATGGGAACTGAAGCACTGTTAAGATTAGAGATCATACAAAATCTTAACTTCATCTACAAGTGGACTGAATTTTATGTCAGTGGGTAGAAAATTCATTTCTAACCAAATGAAGCAAAAGTAATAATTTCAGAACAATTGAAATGTGAGAAAAGTTTCGTCAAATTCTTCCCTTACAATAGTGACAGTCTTTAATTGTCAATTGATGTCATCATCTCGCTTCCTAGACAGTCCACAACAAAAAATAGAAGGAGTACAGACAATAAGTAGAAACAGTAATTACCCTCTGACTGTCTCCAAAAAACACTGATGACAATGTTCATTTTATTCTTTCAATCAATCTCAAAAATGAATCTTTAACAACTTGGAAACTAAGGAAAATCATTCAGTATACAGTTAAACTGTTTTGCAAAATAATAACAAAATTTCAAAATCTAAAATTGTTGTAATATAGCAATTGATGTGAGTATTACATTGGTGAAAATTTTATTTAGGATCTTAAACTCATTTCTGAAGTGTCAACTGAAATTTAGATCAAGACAATGTTAATTCTTCTCTATATACCTTTCCCATTGTAATGAAAGATGCAATACCAATATTTCAAAAGTGGAACTATGCTAGCTTTCCTGAATGTCATAACTATGAAACATTGCCTTATTTACTTATGGTGGATTGTGTCATCCTCCAGTCCAGAGTATCCATGACAACAATTGTTAATTGACAAATTAATACACCATATGTAAGCTCTTCTCACCTTTGACCAGAAGAGCTAAAACCTTTCAAAAAAAAACCTCATTGTATCTATACTTACACTAGTGATGCCTTTCCCTGATAACAGCTTCACGTTGATATCACAGGCTTCTGCAAATTTGCTGGCAACATCCTAGTAAAAATCAGAGTGAACCATAAAAAGAACTTTCTTCTTTTATATCTTAGTTTTACCTCAAGAGAAAAGCAACATATATATTTTTCCATGGCAACCATATTTGTTTGATTGGTGTTTGTTATAATGATACTGTGTACTGTATCATATTGTCTGAGATTTCGATGGATTGGTACTGATATCAATAGTATTGGGATAATTAAATGCCTTATTGATTAAATGATTGATAATAACAAAATCATAGACTAAATAGCAATTTGTTTATGTGTTGATTTTAATGAGCTATACATTATACTGTTTAATAACAATTACATGTAATTACATGTACTTGCATTGTAACTCTACAAATTGTGGGACATGTTAAGAATCCTCGATTTCAAAGATGTTGAAGTTTTTATCACAGAAAATGAGAAGTAAAGGAGAAAATTTTATGAAATTCTGCACTATTCTGTAATGATTTTTAAGTTATGATTATTTTATACAGCCATTTCTCAAAATATGATGTTTTAACCCAAATATATACAACGAAAGAAATCAAATTCAAATTATCTGTTCGACTGTAAGAGATTGTATCTCTCCTGTAATCATAATGTATGCATTCTTGTACTCTCTGAAAAACAAGCTATTTATACTCAATGCAAAATCTTACATATTCTTTTCTCAGCATTCCTAATTTTCTGAGATCTTGTAAAATATGGACAATATTCAACATAGGATGGGTTTACAGACCTTTCCTCTCTGCAATCCAACTATTTATTAAATTAATCTAGCTTTGAAATACAGTTAAAACTTTCTGAGCAATGGATCTAAGCACAATACTTTACTGGGTGAAATGTTGGTACCACTACAGAAGAAGCTTTTTCACAGTCTTTCTTGTTCACACTATTTTGTAACAGGTGAGGCAAAAACTTCTGCTCAGATAGAAACTTACCATGACTTGGGTGGCCAGTTCAAGGGAGGGTAAAACAACAATAGCTCTGGGTGAGTTGGGCAGAGTACCCTTGTCAGACTCAAAGGACTGCATGCGGAACACCAACTCCATGACTGGAAGCAGGTAGGCTAGTGTTTTACCACTGCCTACAACAGTATAGTACATAGTTCAAACATTTAAAAACATTACCAGATACAGGCAGGCTAACATTATACCAATTAAACTAAAGGAAACTTTCCTCTGGACAATCAGGAACAACCTATTATAAACACTTTGTCCTCATGTGCCCCCTGATAGGAAGTGAACTAAGGGGTACAGACTACCATCTCAATATTCTACAGATAAATTCTCTGAATGATTGCATCAGAAATAAGAAAAAGCTTCTATTGATCAATATAGTTCTATATGTACTAATTCTTTAGATTAAATAAATATACCTGTTTCTGCAGCACAGATTACATTCTGTCCTTGTAACACAGCATTGAATGTATATCTCTGGGGAAAACAAGCCAGTGATCATTAAATATCCATAGAGAAATGCCTGTACACAGAACAAGGGATTTTTACTTAGGCCGGAAATATGGCTGTTTATCATTTTCAAATTTTAAATTTAAACATGCATATTTTTGCGGTAATCTTATTTTAGTGGAAATCTGACAATCTCTCCCAGAATGCATTGCGGCACCCCAACAACACCTCTGTAAACGGCTCATACCATTTCAAGATTTTTGAAAAACATATTCGTGTCAAATATTAAAGTAGCACATTATTTTTCGGTTTTGTTATTTGTATTATTTTCTTGTAAACAGAGATTTTTTAAAATATAAAATTACTACATTAGTTTTATGGTTATAAAACTGTGTGGATTACATCATGAAAGATTATTTTTGAGTAAGCAGTCACCATCCATCATGTTCACATTTTGTACTTTCGTTTTTCAGCTACAAAATTTTACTCCAGTGACATGTTCATATACTGTGACATCGGTGATAACTGATGGTATTCTGGCTAAAATATTGGCTCATAACCTCACAAAAAACTCAGATGTTGTTTTCCTTCTATCGATAGCATATAAAACAGTTTACAAAAAAGTGCTTCGTTGGTGTTGTCGGGGATGACCCTGACTGGAGGTCAACTACGGGTAGTCTGGGAGCTGTTTACAGAGTAGTATTGTGACTATTAAGGAACAACAACTCTGGTAGAAATTGGCAATCTGATTTTAGTGGTAAACTTATTTTAGGACTTTCTGCACTGAAGGGACAGTACTAAAATATGATAAAGCTAATTACAATAAAACAGGTTTACAAAATAAATATGAAACAATTACTTGCCAGGAGGGATTTTGTTGCTGACAGCTAAATTGTTTGATATCTTAAATTTACATGTACAGTGAGGTTGAAGTATGGACAAGAACATCAACAAACATTAAAAAATGTATTGTATAATGGGTACATTATCGTTTAATGTGGAGGTGTTTGTATAACGTACAGCTATCATTCATCAAGTGCATACCTGTATTTTGGTTGGATATTCAAAGTCTAATTTTTCAACCTGCTCTAATAAGTGTTCATTCAGGTCGTAATCTTCAAATCTCTGAACTGTTTCATCAACAATTTGCAAGGCTGGATTCTGTAAATAAGTAATGAATATTTTGTACAGCACTAGAAAAAAATCCCAATGTCTGGTAATGGATATCAAAACATAAAAGTCAAAACACAAAAGTCAAAACACATCATTATTAGTGTAAACAATTAAATCAGGCAATTGCCTAGAGAAATAATTACATAAAATTTAGTGTAAACAATAGAAAGTGGGTTGAGGTCATTCATTTGAACAAATATCTGCCCAATATCAGTCGGTATTAGTGTAAACAATCATATCACACCATTATCAGTTGAAATAATCATATCATGAAGTCCATTATTAGTGTAAACAATCACATTGGGCAAACATTGTTAGTGTAAACAATCATATCTGGTCGGTATTAGTGTAAACAATCATATCACACCATTATCAGTTGAAATAATCATATCAGGTCATTATTAGTGTAAACAATCACATTGGGCCATTGTTAGTGTAAACAATCATATCTGGTCGGTATTAGTGTAAACAATCATATCATGCCATTATCAGTTGAAATAATCATATCAGGTCATTATTAGTGTAAACAATTAAATCAGGCAATTGTCAGTGTAAATCTAGAGAAATAATCTGTACCAGCAGCAGGACATAAGATTTTACAAAGCGACCATAGTTCACATTCCATCATAAGCAAAAAAGTATTTTACCTTTTGCTGAATTGTGTTTTTGGAACATTGTCATGAAATGCTCAAAAACATCGTAATTTTATTTATATTACAATTAGCTGCCTGTATGTCTCGATTCTGAATATACAGGTTTATCTGGCTGTGTGTCCTAATATTGAACAGTACTGATTTAACTGGCTGTGCATCCTAATACTGAACAACGCTGATTTACTTGGCTGTGTGTCCTAATACTGAACAATGCATGTTTACCTAACGTGTGTCCAAATACTGAACAATGCTGATTTGCTTGTTAATATGCCTTAAAAATGAACAAAGCTGCCTTACCTGGCTGTGTGTCCTAATGAACAAAGCTAGTTTATCTCAGTGTGTCCTAATTCTGAATAATATTACCTGGCCATGTGCTTTGATGGTGAAATGATCCCCTATAGACTTATAGTTGTTCCAGCCATGGGAGGCTAACATCTTTGGGTTAAATTCACTGTAGGTCTGCCCTCTGTGATGGTTATATTGTGGACGTTTACAGTTGATTAGAAGTGAAGATTTCCTGTTTGACATGTTCACTTTTGCCTGTATGGCTTTCTTCCTCAAAATTTTTTTCTCCTTCTTTTCAAATTGAACTTTAACCTTATGAGGAGTTGTTATTCTTGGTATTTCTCTGTCTACCCTTGTCTGAAATACATAGTATGTACATTTTAGCCGCAGTAGAAATAAAATGAATTTTGAATAATCCATGATTATGTCCAGTTTTCATTAAAGAATTAAAGTTAGAATACACTGCTTCAATGACCTATAAATATCCAGTTTTCAGTGTATCCTAGGAAATAAATAGTGTTTAAATTACCTTGTATACTACTCATTTCCAACTTTCCCTATTCTGATATTTCCTTTGCTCTCCTACTGTTAGGTGGTAAGACCTTCTAACATACACACATAAAAAATGATTGAAGGAATACTTACCACAAGCTGTCTGTACAGGACAGACACCAGTTGGGACTGGATAGTCCTATTCAGCATAACCAGGGAACACATTTGCATCCTTTGTCTTCAGAAACAGGTATGCTTTAATCTTTTATAGTAAACAAATGTATCCATTAGCAAAAGAAGTACATTTAAAAACATGATTATTTAAAATCACTAGAAACATCGCATTCTTCCATGGTGGAATATTTTGTTTTCTAAAAGTAACTTACTGAATGACTGTTAATGTAAAATGACACTTGTGACATCATCATTAAACAATAGTATGATCACATGTCAGAAACACATACCGACAACTTTCCAACAAGTTGGACACAACCCTGTATATGAGAAATACTAGTTTTGCATCTGAAGGATAGTTATTGCTTTTAGTAATCAATCAGTGATTCAAATTCAGGATCATTTGAGATAGGAACACAAAGTTGTTTTTCAACATTTGACACAAAATTTGGCACTATCTTTTCAACAAGACCCAATAGTCATTGAGACATGGTATCCATCTGCATAAGAAATATTCCTTTTTGTTATCTAACTGTGCTAAACTGACAATTTATATCACTGATTTTGATTTGTTGACTTGCACATTGTATATAGCCATAGGGAAAATGCCAAAGGTAAACATGAATTTACTAGAGTTCTACTTCAAGCCACACTATAACCAGTGGAGGTGATAAAGTGTGTGATTTTTACAAAAAAGCGAGATAACTGAATAACTCATTTTTTGTGTAAAAATGTATAATGTTGCATTTGTTATTAGGCCATGTTTAAAAGATGACATCCTATTTGTCGCAAATATGTATCGGCTTTATGCGTTTCGTTTCCTAATGACCATGCATTTTACTACTCAAAGAAGTAACTTTCCTTCAACTGCAGGACTACTTCCCATATCTGTATACGTAGGGTTGAGTCCAACATGTTCAATAGGCGAGATCTTAAGACAATGTAAGAAAAAATAATGATGTCTGTTGAATGGTTCGTTGAAAAAAAATATACAGAAAGGGCATATTTCAAAACAGTAAGACATTTATTTTTTAAAATTTGACGACGCAACACCACAATCCAGAACCAAATACATTGTTTATAATGAGGTCCGAAACAGACTGACGTGAGAGCTATGGGGAAGCGTGCTTTTAAGTCTGGGTTGCTTGAGCCTTAACGACTATTGTCTGTTCGTTCAAATACTGTTAAAAACATATTTTCAGGAAGGAATATACCTGTTTTCAACTCACACAACCATGGCATATCTTATACTGCCCTGTCGTCAGTCATGTGCTGGTATTTAGTTGGATCATGGAGGCTGACATGACACCGGAAGTTGGTTAATCTTGGTCAAACGGAGGCTTCTCCATCAAACACGGAAAGATGGGAACCGAATACATAGGAAAAATTGCCCCATGCTTTACACATTTGATAGATACGGTCATCAGGAATGGGAAGATTGGAATATGTGGAGCACATGTGCGCATATCAGACATCAGAACTGGGTATAATGCAGCTTACTACTTAATTAGCTAATCGCCTATCAGCTTTTCTGCAAGCGTATCGTTTGCACACTGAATGTTATTATTAACTGAATAACAAATATGTAATAGTACTTAATTAAGATATCAATCGTTGTAAGAGAGTGATGTTTTTTCAGACGACGTTCTTAAAAACTGTTAAGATGTGACACCACTGAACACGGGAGGCAACTCTAACAAAACCGTGACTCATTTTGGTATCTCAATCTTTTCAGTATAATATTAATATTCACTTTCTTCCTAAAAATAAGAATGAAGATTTTCGTTCGAAATGCATGCCAAAACAAGGAAAACATGGAAAGAGCCGCACTGATTGACTCCTTGTGTATGTTCATCCCAGAATCTCAAACATGTATCATATAACTAAATGTGATTTAGCTTTGTGTCTTGCATTTAAAATTTAATCACATTTAGTTACTTTATTTTTAAGAAAATCAAATCCTTTGAAACACACCATATTATATTTTCAACAATTTTATACATGTTAACAATATATAGATATTGTATGATGTATTGATAATGCTATGATAATACTCTTATGATTAATCATTTCCTGCATTGTCTATTATGATGAATGTGCTGTGATCCATAAAAGCCAGACTGAACATAGAACTTTATTGACATTAACTTGCAGGTCACTTAGTACTTCAAAGAAGCCTAACGGTGACAGATTTCAGGTGCTACTACCTTTTGCAGGACAGACACTACAGTGTAAGTTTTGCATTTTTGTCAACATATTTCTTGAAAACTTGGAAAGAGATACAGAAATTTAAATTAATGTTGCTTGTTCACGCAGGTTTGCATCCTCCATAGTTGGGAAACTATTAGTGCGACAGTGTGAAACTATCATTAGTGTAGTTTGAATAAGGATGCTCTGCTGATCAGCACACATTGGATACATTTCTCATATCAGTGACGGTATAAGAAGTAATCATTTACTGGGCAGGTGTTCGATGTTCACAGCTCTAAATAACATCCTGATTGACAAATTTCTAGTAAGCTGCAATATGTACCAAAAGTATCTCATCTAACTCAAGTTTCCTCTGGACCATAAAACAGACTTAAGCATTTTTAGAGACAAATGTTTGACAAGGAAGTCTACATCATATCATGACCACTTTTAATTTTTTGGGTGCTGTTTGGGGATATAAGAGACACCATTGTGCTGTTATAACTGTATACTGGTACATTGTATGTGTTAGATGTAGCTATATTACATATTTGTCTTTACTAAAAACTTCAGGACTGCATTTCAAATTATACCCTATCATTGATCTACTTTATACCTACTGTGGTATGTGTTTTCTGTTTAATAGGGGATGTGATTTTTGACTGTAACTACCCTCAGGACCCACCAGATTTCATCTTTTCCGCAGATGACAGTGATTTTTGTCCACATGAGGAAGATGTCAAGGTTTGTTTCTTATCTAAGATGAAGTTCTTAATACAAGGACTTGCACACTATATCAGCAATTTGTTGATGAAATTCATATGTTTTATACTGCTTATATTTGTTTCAACCGGTGATGAAGTGTTGATTCTGTTAAGTGGTTCCTGATATGTGTACAGGTTTCATTATTCATTGAAAAAAAAATCATTTTCGTAGAATTATTTTCATTTCATTGGTAGGTATTCTATATATCCACATGATGATATAAATAGATAAAAGTTAACATGGATTACAGTACTTGTAGATTTCTAGAGCAAGATTTAATCACAAAATCCGGTTTAAAAAGGTGTAATTTTTTTTTGAAAACCACTGAATTTGAACCCCACAAAATAAATTTGACAGTATAATCACCTGAGTTTAATGACGTGGAATTACAGTGATTTTTATCGTCACCAGGGTTTAGTGAATTGGGATTACAATGATCCCAATAGTCTACTTAACGTACTCAATGAGTTGCTGATATTGTACCGCGAACACCATCAGCGCCGGATTGAGGCCCACTCCCGTCTCCAGTTTGAGTACTCCTCCCTCATAGACCAGGCCAATCTATCACCAGAAGACATTGAGATATTCGTACACAGATCTGAGGTGGGTGTTTTCTTTCACCTACTGGTGAGGATGATGAAATGAAGAGATGAGTATGTGGTATGAAACATCCTCTTTAGTTCTCATCATCCTCCATCAGTTTAATCATATTCAGTTTTCCAGTTTTGTTCATCATTCATACAACTTTGTTTTGGACTTATCACCTAAACCATTGATTAAACTTGAGCATGAAAGTATGTTAATCCGACATTGACAAAATGGGAAAGATTAACTCAGTACAGTATGTATTTTGTACATTTGATAAAAGAATGGACATGAATATTGAAATACTTTGAGGTCATATATTGACCAGTTGTATATACTTTTATCTTGTGATGTCATTAAATGTAGATTTTCTGTCTTAATATTGATAAAGAAAAGGACCTCAAACTGACTAGCTGGATACATTCTTGGGATTGCTGTGTAATCTGATAACATTTTGTTCTGTATTTTCAGTCCAAGGTTGGTCCAGTTGTGTTTCTGGTCAAAATGGCAGTAGATTTTACAAAGATACCAGCTTACCTGACCAAGGTGAGTCCTCAGTTTAATGTGGGAATCAAAAGTATAACATATTGTTATAATGTTGTAGTTGGTTTTTTGTTTTAATAAAGTAAAATAATGAACTTTGATTTTTAGGAAAACATATGGCATATTTGCTGTGAACATTTATGTCAAAACCATATCCTGACAAGTTGATGTTAGATATAAGTTTCTTGTCAGTATCTCAAAACTATCAAAAAAAACAACAACAAAGCTTTCTGGTGACACTGATCATTGTTGATCATGTGATCAGTGAATTATGTTGATCATGTGAAAATTGAAAAATTGAAATATGTTCATCACTTTAGACTGTTAACTTAATGGAATAGTCCGTTATGCTATGTAACTCAAATCCTGATGTCACTACTTGTAAGTATGACACTCAAGTTGATGCCAAGTACCAGTGGTCATGGAAAGGTGCTCATTTATTTTAGGACAATCCTGGAGAGGACTCAGCAGTGCTTCTGGTCAATTTCCCCTCCCCAAATACCTCACGGATTAGCCCGCAACTGTACCTTTCACCCAGAGTAGAAAAGTAAGTAATTTTTTCACTGACAAGCACTTACACCATTAGCAGATAAATTGATTAATGATAAGTAGCACATTAAATCTCCTCATCTCTGATTTATCTTGAAAATTGTGAAGAATAATCAATTATACTTCTACATGTTGTACCACAACTTATTATATGAGAAAGGGATATTAATTCAAGATAAAGATTGGATGCTGCATTTCTGTACATCCTTCGGACGTCTGTTGTCTGTCAACTTTTTCCTATAAATCGCAACGAGTCATGAATAATTGAGTGCAATTGAATCAGATTTGGTCTGAAGCATGCTTAGGAAAATGGAAACCAATTTTGTATAAACGGTGGGTCTGACTCCCTTATGGCCTGATTTTTCCCATATTTGGTCTGAAGCATCCTTTGATGAAGAGGAATCATTTCAGAATTTCTGAACTTTCTACTTCTGCCCTTTGGGCCTTTGGGGTGGGAGGGGCAGGGCTCAATGGGTGAATTAGAGCAAATTCCATTAAATCCTTCATCTGTAGGAATACCTGGATGTTGTCCCAATTTGTCCTGAAGCATGCTTGGGTGAAGAGGATCCATTTTGTAAAAACAGTGGATCACTTTTGTATGAACATTGAGTTCCTGTCTACTAAGGTTGGAGGGGCGTGGCGAGACAGTAGAAATAGAGCTAATTCTTTAAAAATCTTCCCTATGTTAGAATTGAATACAAACTGGGTGAAGATAACTTAGATTTTACAGTGCATCCCCTTTTTAAGAAGGGAAGAGTCTATTACAGGGATATAGATACAAGTGTTTAAATGTTTTTCCCTGTGTTATAATGAATCAGTTTCAGCAAACTAAACCAGGTGAGCAATACAGGCCATATGGGCCTCTTGTATTTATGATTGCTTAGGTGGAGTATTCCCTTCTGACATTGTGGGATTTAATAACTACCAGGGTATGTTGCAGTTTATATTTCTATCTCGTATTTAGTACTGAAGGTAATATATAAATGATCCCATTTTTTATTTTGCTATCTGCCATTGTGTGGTTTTATAATTATCAGTGCTTTGGGAGGATCGGCTAACCTGAGGATACCTCCTTATCCCAGTGGTGGCTGTTTGCTGGATTATGTTCCAAATGTCTGCGAACTCTTACAAAATAAGGTAAAATGACCCAAGTCAACTTGATTTTTAGTAAAACAAGGTAGGGTTCTGATTAATGACAAACAGGAATTAGGAACAAAATTATTTAAATTGTCAGAGTTGCATTATATTGATACAAATTTAGATATTTCATAAAATTCCAATCTTCTTTCAGATTGATTGATACTGAAACAATCATTTTTGTAGAGGATTTATTTTCGTTAGATTATTATGTAGTCAATCAGAGAAATTATTTGTCCTATAAGTGGAATTTGTGAGCATGGTTTATCCATGAACTTAATTTGTAACAAAAATGTATGTTTTTGAAAACCACAAAATTTGAGCTCCTAAAAATATAGGATCTTACAGTAGATGATAATCAGAATTTAGAAATATGAAATTAAACATGACAATGAAACTAATTATTGCATTTATTTTTAAAAAGAAACTATCAATTTATTGTTAACTATTATTTGTTATCATACCTTACAGCTAATACATCATCTACTTGTACTCATTGTCATGTATACACACATAAAGCATGTATTATGTGTTTAGGTGGACCAGATATCAAATGTTCATGAAAAGAAGAAAGAATATATTGCTGCTTTTCTCAGTAATTTTGGCAGGTGAGCATCATTGGTTTCTTATCAATATTATAATGTTAAACATAAAAAAAATTGGATTTTTAGGTCATCTGACCCAAAGGGTCAAGATGACCTATAGCCTTCGTGCTTCGTCCGTCGTCCGACGTGCGTAAACTTTTCATTCAAACAACTTCTTCTCAAATACTAGAAGGTCTAGGGGGCTAATACTTGGCACAGAGGATACTGGCATGGAGCTCTACCAGTTTGTTCAAATGAATGACCTTGACCCACTTTAAAGGTCACAGGGGTCAAATATGTTAAAATCTTTAAACAACTTCTTCTCATTAACCAAAAGGCTCAGAGTGTAGATATTGGGCCTGTGACATGCTGGGATGAAGTGCTACTAAGTTTGTTCAAATGAATGACCTCATCCCACTTTCTAGGTTTGGCTTGCTTTTTGTCAGATGACCGTTAAGGCCCATGGGCCTCTTGTTATTGTATTTGAACATCTTCAAACATCCTCAATATTCCAGGGGTTATGATCATTTTGTTCCCTGCACCCTTGGATCATGTCATAGCCAAATTGAAGGCACAAGTGAACTAATTTGATTGGCTCCAGGAAAAAACCCTGACCAATCACAGCCTGATATGTTCCTTTTGAAGATTACAAAGGAGCAACCCCCAGATTCAGAGCATTACCATATACGGTTATACAACCACAAGATTTGGTCTTAAAAGGATCAAAGTGTCGCAGACAGAACCTTCAATTTTGCCATGACATGTTCCAGGGGTGCAGAGAGAAAGTGATTATTTGATTTATAGCTGAAGCTTTTATGGCATTTATGATCAACATTAATGCAAGAGCTTTGGAAACAAACTTCTTATAACACACAATAGTGAAATATGGTATGTTTACTAACCAATCTCTCTCCGTAAATGTAACAAGACAGTTCAATTTCCAAGCACATTACACTCTTAAACATATTTTAACTCATTGTGAACGAAAGTAATTCATTATCAGCGGTAACCCTTCAAATGGAATAGTACATACTATGTAGTTGTAAAAGTGTATTGATAGGTGTCACTGTCATCAAAAATGATATATATTTCTTAATAGATTCCTTATGACTCATCTTTCTGGTTTAAACAGTAAAATTGCCTTCAAAATATTAACATTTTTGGAGAGATATCAGTATGGTTATATTTGCAGATATAAAACTTGTATTGATTGATATGTATGTTGCTGTTTTTTTTTCAGATCGGTGTTAGAATATGATGCAGAATTGTTTAGTAGGATTTCATTTCTGTTTGAATGGAATGATTTCTTCTTTATCCTTTATGGTAAGATAAAAAAATTCTATTTGAAAAAAAATCCAATTGTACATTCAAAATTATTGATGTTGAATCAGATTAAGCTTACGAGAATGTAAGAAATAGCCAAAGACAAGATTAGTATGGAATATTTTAAAGCTGTGAAATAAATTTGAAATTTGCATAAGATTAGAATTTCTATCTTTGAAAGATAATCTTGTTTGGAAAACTTTGTAAACCTGTTGATTTATTTATATGTAAGTACATTGATATTCCAGCAGAGTTATGTTGGATCAGATTTCATCCAGTAGTCGTCCTGTGATCATCATCACAGCACAACTGTAAATGTGTACATATACAACAACTGATCTTCAGATCACTGTCTTTTACTATTGCAGTGGAGCTGCCTTCATTTTTCCCCCAGGAGCCTCCCATCTTTACTTTCCAGTCCATCTATCATGAATCCAAGGGCAAACCTTACACAGAGACAGTCAACGACTACCCATACAGTCCTCGCTGGAGTGCACTCAAAATGGCAGAGAAAGCAAGGCAAGCAATTATCACCAAAACCTTGATTTTTATTTCTTATTTCTGCTATGATTGAAGAATTCACTATAGTTAAGTAAGAAAAAAACATTACCTACCTTTGAAAAATCTCTTGAGTATAGAGATTAGTATAGATGGTTGAACTTTATTTTTTCTTCTCTACAACAGAAGTGATAAGATTTAAATGAAAACTTTATGAAATCTTTTTCATTATTAGTGTGTGAACCACCCTTTTGGTATTTCAAGATGTGATTTAGTGTAATGACAATTTAGTAATAAATTTTTCACTAAAATTAAGCTTACCTTTCAAATACAATTCATAAACATTATATCAAAGTTAACAGTGCATTCTTTTAAAAACAAGTGTTTTATTTGTTTTGTAGGGAGTACATCCTAAGCAATATTGGAACATTCCAGAAAGCTTCAGTCCACAGTGGTTCTCTGTAGACTTTCATATCAACTACTGAAAAATCAGTTTTCTTTTGTTACCATAGCATTATACGATACCACTTTTATATGACAATTTTATATGCCTTTGATTCCTCAAATATAAAAATCAAAGTCATTTTAAAATATTATTTATTGTATTATATAATTGAGATTCTCCTAAATGGACAATAAAGTTAACCTACCAAGTACATTGTAATAATAAATGTGTATTTCATTGTTTTAGTCTACTTTTGAGATGAGCTTTAATACTCTACCTTCAGTCAGTGAACATATATGGTTTAAAGATTTGTCATCTAGAATCATTAAATTCTGATTTTATCACTTGACAAATTGTTAATTATTTTTATCATTATCTGTAGATTTGTATCACAGCAATCACTTTCAGGAAAAATCTTGAAAAACCAATAGTTGTTATTAAAGATTTGGTAAAATGTTTGTCACCCATTGTGAAACATTTTCTTTTGATTGTTAAGTACATATATATATAAAATAGAAGTTAATTTGCCTTCTTGTGTATTCTTCAACACTGATTATGATAAAGGGACATCTATTCTAGGTATGCTACCCACATGTTTTGTAGTTTCTGGAGGAATTGTTAACCTGTTATACTAGTGATCCCACTTCAGAATCCCTAATTTCAGTTTAGAGCTTTGTGTTGGCTCTCAGAGCTTTCTGCATTATGAATATTTTAAGACCAAAGATAGCCATGGACATTGAATATTGAATACTGAATACAACATGAATTGGCATTATCATTTATCCTTTAGACCAATTGTGCAATATTTCTCTTTTTCCTTGAGTGATAATTTTTAAATAAAACTCCCATGATTCAGTGTTAAAAGCCAAAATGGCCACAGGATTCATCTCAGAACTGGCCAAACAAACATTAACTAGTAATAGCAGTTATAGGGCCATGCTAAAACAAGAATCTAACAAGAAATTATGGATACTTGTTATTTTTTCAAATGTGAGAGATTAACCATCTACGTGCTGTGAGCATGCTTTTGAATGAGATTCATCTTTTTTGTTGACACGTATATATTTAGTGAATAATATAATGTACATAAAGATGATAAGAATGAACTCTTCTTGGTGCAATACGCACTGTTTTTACAAATAAAAGACCAAATTTAGTTTTCAAAAACCTTTTATTAAGAATAGCACAAAAATAAATTTGCAAATAAATGTACACTTAGTGTAAATAGATACTTTAACCAAACTTAAATTCCAGAATAAACAAGACATCCCAGAGGGATCTTGGCGCCCACCATTTGAGGATCTGTTTTCAGTTCTTGAAGATTTTTTTTTTTTTTTTTTTGTTACAGGTTTTGTAAATGTTCATGAACTGGTCTTCATTGAATGTACTCAGTGATGGCACAAGATATTTTTATCAAGCACCTATTAGCAAATATCATTTGAAAAAGATCCCAAAGTATTATTAGATAGCAGTCAGTTACAGGTGGATAATGGACAATATGCTTGTGCTGTATTACTGTCGACATCCAAGATGGCTGCCTGTGGGCCACCTTGATTTCAGATCAGTCCAAAAAAGGTACAATGCACAACTAGGGACCAAGGGAAATCAATATCTATGAAATATCAGAAGGATCGATCCAGTACTTCCTCAGATATAGCAGTAACAGGATTTTACTCTCAAAACAGGCAGCCATCTTGATTTCGGATCAGTCTAAAAAGGTATAATGCACAACTTGGAACCAAAGGGAACTTGCATATGAAATTTGAGAAAGATCCATCCAGTACTTTCCAAGAAATAGCAGTAACAAACTTTTACTTCCAAAATCCAAGATGGCCACCTGTCGGCCATCTTGAAAGCGAATCAGTTCAAAAAAGGTACAATGCACAACTAGGGACCAAGGGGAACCTGCATATGAAATTTGAGAAAGATCCATCCAGCACTTTCCCAGAAATAGCGGTAACAAGAATTGTTTACGGACGGACGGACCACGGACGCAGGGACGATTTGAATAACCCACCATCTATTAGATGGTGGGCTAAAAATATACCCTTACAATATTATATTACATTGACATTTCATTGGTAATTCTGTGAAGCAGCAAAAATAATTTCTGCTACTACAAAGTGAAGAAATATATAATATCAGATAAAATTCTCAAAGGTGGTAAAATCTGGGCTTTAGTTGCTACCAACACAAACTGTATCATCAAAATGCTACAGACACATTGTGTAACTACTGTTACCTCTCCCTTTATCACAGTATTAGTCTAACTTCAATGTCCCAACATTTAAATGGTCCCCCAAGATGATCTTTTGTGCAATTCAAAGTTCATCTTTGTATCAAAATTATTTTTTTCATTCTTTATTGCCACTAGAGCTCTCAATCTTTAAAAATATTGAAAGACTTATCAATTTCACACACTCTCCCCCTCTTTAGGAGAACTTTGGCCAACAAGTCAACAATCACATAAGAGACCATTAAAGACAATTCATTTGGTGTCCCAACTGGCATGTAATACTGATGTGCCAAAATTGTATTATAAACTGTACCTTCACACTTGCACATTACAGGTAAATGACTCCCAAAACTTTTTTGTAATTCAGATGGTGCTCATTCACTTTTTAAAACATATTTGACCCCCGTGGCCCTGAAAGTAAGTCAAGGACATTTATTCAAATATAATGGCTCTAGGCCTCTTGATTATTTGGAAGATTGATTATGGCATAAGCTCAATGGTTACTGTTCTTACAGGTGAGCTTGACATATTCCAACATCTACATGTAATTGGACTGATGGAAAATTGTATTACAGTTTTACTGTATGTCATATTCATTACTAGGCTTAATTTGAGCTGCGTATTAAATTTGCACTCATGAGGTCGTTGCCAAATGTACCTTTGATGTGAGAGTATTACATACAACAATCAAGCAGCTATGTAACATGTAAACAGAAATGGCTAAAGAAATTGCACATTTAAATAAATTTATCAAAAAAGGAGCATGGCAGTCTATTACACTGAACTGTCATTATTTCCAATCAATTATAAGTCATTTTAGCACAATTCAATCCATGTCAAAATCATACAGGGAAATCTTAGAAGTTTGATCATTTCTCATCTTTTCTCTTCTCTCCTCTGTATTCGCTCTTAATGATACAAAATTTGAACACATCTTTGCAGAAATAGCAATAATAATCATTAATTGCCAAATCCAAGATGGTCACCTTTAAATCATTTTGGTTTTCTGATCAGTCCCAAAATCAAATGGGCATAACTAGGGCGAAGGTGATTTTTAACATGAAATTTGAGAAAGATCCATCCAGTACATCTGAAGAAATAGTTTACGGACAGATGGACAATGGACTACGGACATTGGAAGATTTGAATTGCCCACCATCTGATGATGGTGGGTTTAAAAACATTGAATTGTACAAGCACACCTGGTCAACTGTATCACCATTAAATAGCCTATCATAAAGAAAACACTGTCTGTGATAAAATTGCATAGTAATTAAAAGTGAAAATTGAATACTTGTAATACAGTAAAAAACATTAAATAGATATAATTGTTATTATGCATCCAAATTAAAAAATATAAAACCGATATTGACAAAGGTCTTCAATGGTTTATAAATGATATATTATCAATTTTTTTGTTTTAAAACAATTGTGAAACAAGGTTTAAGCTTATATCAATCACTCTTGTTGGCCTGGGTGGAAGAGCACAAGGAGTATTTTGGGAGGAAACCAGATTACCCGGGGAAAACCCATGTGGACAGGTAGGTAACCCATACGTTTTCACGTCTGTGCCTGGAATTGAACCCCTGATGCCTAGGTGATGGGCAGGTGTGTTACCATTGCACCACCTGACCACTCAATGGTCTTCAATGGTTTTCTCCCAAACCTGAGATAATGGACATTGTACCACTGCTGCCTGTGTCAACACTCTTCATTTATCCATTGCTAAATCACCATAGTCCAGGCAAGCTCCATACAAAATAAACCAGACATCCCCTTACCAACTGTGGATCCCTGTCTTTGCATGTACAATATTTAGTTCCCACCTAACCTACATTCCTCTCTGCCATTCCCAATATCAGTATTGCTTTAAAATTGATGTTTTATTCACAAGCACTTTTCATTTAAACATTTAAAATTGTTTTCAGTGTACAATATTGCAACTGCTGCAATGATCAATAAGGAATAACACCACGATTAAACACCATTCAAATTGGTCCCCATACCTATCTAAAGGAATGGAATGTGCTCTAATCCTTCTTATTTATTTATTTATTTTTTTAATTTCCTTAAGATGAACTAGGTGTTTGTTGCTTTCACATCATTGCTCATTTCAAAGTAGATATAATAAATAAACACACAAATACTGATATTCAAAAGCATTAATACTGTATGATAGAAATTCCTGACTGCAACGTATATCAAAAAATGAAACAGTAATGCTGAACAAAAATTGATGTATTATGCAAACTGTAAAATAACTTGTGCTCCAACGATCTGTTTCCTTTTATTGATCTGCCGATGTGTTTGATAAATTCAAACTTTGAGTGAAACAAGAATGAGAGAGTTCAAACTATCACCTGACAGAAAGTTATTGTTGGTATTGAACTTTTTCTATCGAACTGACCAGAGGTTAAGTATATGTTAAGACAATTTATGAGCAGAAATTGAAAAACTATCAAGACAGTATACAGTACACAAAGTAATGAAGTATTTAAAAAAAATGTCTCTATGTCAAAGATTAGAAATATCTAGTTTGACAAAACTTTGCCAGGAAAAGACTTTAAACAGGTCAGCAGGGCATGACTTAGAGTGAAGAAGCAACTTTTACTCTGAGACGTTAAACCCGAGTGGTGTAAAAATGACATAATTAAAATGTTGTAGATTACTTTACATTTTATAAACAAAAAATATTTTAATTTGAGATTCATGAAATGAATGTCAGTCTTTATTACAATGACAGGTTCTATGAAATAGGTTGTACAATAGATACGAAAGTGAATATCGCTTTTTAATGGAAATTTTGAGTTAGATACAGTAGAGCCAATTAATGAATTAAGCTGCATCATCTGACTGTTCCGTCCTTCTAGGACTCGTCAGTGATACTAAAGACTTAAGTTTTGAAGCCTTTGAGGCAACTAAGGAAAATGCTAAGTGATTGAACAAAAAGGCAAAATCTAGACGGGGAGGAGCTATCCCATAATTCAAGAAATTTGGTACTTTTCATATACACGTATTAGAAAATTTGAGAAACGCAAAGTACAATTGTATATTCTGAAATGTGCCACTATTTGATTGAATTTAAATGTAGCATGCAGGTTATGGTTTTTGCAATGACTTCACAAATATATAAATAAAATCGAATATCATTTACATCATAATAGCAGTAATGTACACATTAAGTAAGATTATGTTTATCCACCTTGTCATCATTATCAGGTCATGTCAAGTCTCTTGAACCTGACATCTAAAAAGGCTACTAATAATACATTAACAAGCAGGCCATGGCCCTTGCAGTCATCTGACAGACCACAGAATTTCCTGATGGTGCTCTAACCAGTCTGATGAATTCAAATTTTGAACATTCTTGGAAAGTGTTTGAAACTTATAAATGGTAGGCTCTGTGAATGAAAAACAGTTGCACAATCATGTTTAAAAAATGGTTACTGTGGCAACCATATTAAAGTTTTGACCAGACTGAAAAATAACAACATATCTGTTTCTTTTCCTTGACAAATTAAACTCAAAAATATTAAGTAGTTCAGACTATTTGTTCAAGATGAGTTACATTGGATATTTGACCAAACCTAAAAACAAGATTTGTTCAAGACAATCTCTTGAGCACTTCATGCATGTCTGATATTGGAGGAAATCCACCCACTAAGGAATTAAGAAGGAGTAGCATTTTGTAGCAAAATATTGCTTTACTTCCCATTTTGGGGTTCTGTCCCAAGTCCCAAGGGGTCCCTGGGGATTGAATCAACTTTCTGACTTTAAGAAATAATTACCCACCCGTAATGATGTTTCAGACCAAAGCTGATTCAAATCTACCCAGACATTGAGAAGGAGTAGCATTTTATTAAAAGCAACATGTAGTTTAACTTCCCATTTCTGGGACTGCCCCTAAACCCATAGGGAATAAATTTTCTGAATTCAAGAATTGTTTCAGACAAAATTTTAATAGCATCCAATCAAGCATTATTGAAGGGTAGCTTATTGGAGCAAAGTATCGTCTGACTTCCCTTTTGGGGTTTCAATCCCCAGCTCTCTAGGAGTCGAAGCAACTTTCTGAATTTAAGAAATTATTTTCCACCCCCAATGACATTTCAAGGTAAATTTGGTTGAAAGCTTTGCTGGCCTTAAGTAGGAGTAGTGTTTTAAATGAAAAGTTTATGTAAAGCAAATGGTGAATGGCAACGGATGACACATGATAGCAATACCCTAAGGGTTAAGATGACCTTAAAACAATCAGTAAGGACTGACACAATGTATAAACACAAACATACCAACAGATTCCAGCATTTTCTCCAAAAGTTATTCATTACATTAAAGTCATACAAGACACTATTAAAATGTGAAATGCTAAATATTGGCCATCATTAACTGGAGCTGTTTGCTGGAGTGTACAACTTCATAACATTGTCCTTTATGGTTTGGTACTCTGCTTCATCCAGCTGTGCTTCCCGGATGGTATCGTTGATAGACTCTTCTGTAAGTCCTCCATACAACTCAGATACTGAAATAGTAAATAGAATGATATATCCAGGTTACACTGACCTCTGGAAGATTTTAAAGGGGTATTTCAAACAAATCAATGTTGTGTAAAACATTTTTTTTTACTAATGACTTGCCACAACCTTTGTTCAGAAACCCTATTTATTTTTTGTTTTTTTATTTCTCATACCTGAAATTTCCTGAATGAATAAAAAGTTCTTTTGACTAATCTAAGGAAACTGCCTAATGTATTTGCCAGTGATGCTATAATCCATCCTAAATTGAAGCAACAAAACATCCTGTGATTCTAATATATAAAGGAAAAAAGGGCAGAAAATATCATTTTATTGAACAACATAAACTTGTTTCCATTGGCAGTGTGATACAATGTGCACATATTTAGGTACCAACAATGCTTCCTGTTACATGTACACATATTAGGGTGACTGACTACAGGTGTTTCCTGTTACATTTAGGGTGACTGTCCACGACTGTTTTCTGTTACATGTATATATGAGTATATATAGATACTGTTTCCTGTTACATGTACACATGTTAGGGAGACTGACTACGACTGTTTCCTGTTACATGTACACATATTAGGGTGACTAACTACAGGTGTTTCCTGTTACATGTACACATGTTAGGGTGACTTGCTACAGGTGTTTCCTGTTACCTGTACACATATTAGGGTGACTGACTACAGGTGTTTCCTGTTACATGTACACATATTAGGGTGACTGACTACAGGTGTTTCCTGTTACATGTACACATATTAGGGTGACTGTCCACGACTGTTTTCTGTTACATGTATATATGAGTATATATAGAGTGACTGACCACGACTGTTTCCTGTTACATGTACACATATTACGGTGACTGACTACAGGTGTTTCCTGTTACATGTACACATATTAGGGTGACTGACTACGACTGTTTCCTGTTACATGTACACATATTAGGGTGACTGACTACAGGTGTTTCCTGCTACATGTACACATATTAGGGTGACTGACTACAGGTGTTTCCTGTTACATGTACACATATTAGGGTGACTGACTACAGGTGTTTCCTGTTACATGTACACATGTTAGGGTGACTGACTACAGGTGTTTCCTGTTACATGTACACATATTAGGGTGACTGACTACAGGTGTTTCCTGTTACATGTACACATATTAGGGTGACTGTCCACGACTGTTTTCTGTTACATGTATATATGAGTATATATAGAGTGACTGACCACGACTGTTTCCTGTTACATGTACACATGTTAGGGTGACTGACTACAGGTGTTTCCTGTTACATGTACACATGTTAGGGTGACTGACTACATGTGTTTCCTGATACATGTACACATGTTAGGGTGACTTGCTACAGGTGTTTCCTGTTACATGTACACATGTTAGGGTGACTGACTACAGGTGTTTCCTGTTACATGTACACATGTTAGGGTGACTGACTACAGGTGTTTCCTGTTACATGTACACATGTTAGGGTGACTGACTACAGGTGTTTCCTGTTACATGTACACATGTTAGGGTGACTGACTACAGGTGTTTCCTGTTACATGTACACATATTAGGGTGACTGACTACAGGTGTTTCCTGTTACATTTAGGGTGACTGTCCACGACTGTTTTCTGTTACATGTATATATGAGTATATATAGAGTGACTGACCACGACTGTTTCCTGTTACATGTACACATGTTAGGGTGACTAACTACAGGTGTTTCCTGTTACATGTACACATATTAGGGTGACTGACTACGACTGTTTCCTGTTACATGTACACATATTAGGGTGACTAACTACAGGTGTTTCCTGTTACATGTACACATGTTAGGGTGACTTGCTACAGGTGTTTCCTGTTACCTGTACACATATTAGGGTGACTGACTACAGGTGTTTCCTGTTACATGTACACATATTAGGGTGACTGTCCACGACTGTTTTCTGTTACATGTATATATGAGTATATATACTACAGGTGTTTCCTGTTACATGTACACATATTAGGGTGACTCACTACAGGTGTTTCCTGTTACATGTACACATATTAGGGTGACTGACTATTTTACATGTACACATATTAGGGTGACTGACTACAGGTGTTTTCTGTTACATGTTACATGTACACATATTAGGTTTCCTGTGAGTGACTGACTACAGGTGTTTCCTGTTACATGTACACATATTAGGGTGAGTGACTACAGGTATTTCCTGTTACATGTACACATGTTAGGGAGACTGACTACGACTGTTTCCTGTTACATGTACACATATTAGGGTGACTGACTACGACTGTTTTCTGTTACATGTACACATATTAGGGTGACTGACTACGACTGTTTTCTGTTACATGTACACATATTAGGGTGACTGACTACGACTGTTTTCTGTTACATGTACACATATTAAAGTGACTGACTACGACTGTTTCCTGTTACATGTACACATATTAGGATGACTGACTACAGGTGTTTCCTGTTACATGTACACATATTAGGGTGACTGTCCACGACTGTTTTCTGTTACATGTATATATGAGTATATATAGAGTGACTGACTACAGTTTACCACTGTTTTGGAGAAGAGTTTCTGACATACCTTTAATTGGTAGGTGTCCTGCTAGCTCTACCACGGCCACATTAAAACATGCCTCTTCCTTTACACCTGGCAAAGGACAGCAGCAGATTGAAACCAGGTAAATTAGGTCAATTCTCTAAAGCAATTCATAATGACATGATTCATATTTGAAGATTTCTTGATCACACCTAATTTCATTTAAAATAGATGGATCTTAATTCAATATATATTACAGTAAGTTAGATGAAAATGACGGAAGATGTTTTTGATTAAACAAGAAAACTTTTAAACCCATCAAAAATATCACTTTGTGTACCTATAAACTTTTTCCTTGGCCACAGAAATAACCTGACAGTCCTATTGCGACTGGTTTTGTCTTCCCCAAACACAGTGCCTCGGGTTATAAACAGGTTGTGGGCTACCTCAGACCTCTGCATGTAATCTGCCACTAGATAAATCACCCTGAAGTAAAGATGATAAGGCTAGCAATATAACCAGTATCAATTTATGTGCGAGAGAAATAAAAAAGCAACTCTACCACTTATCTGTGTATATCAGTGACAGTACTAACCTAGAGACTTCTTCTATTGTTGATCCATGTAACTGGAACACAAATCCCTTTGTTGGCATCACCTCCAATTCATATAAGATTCCCTTCAGGTGTTTCACAGGCTGTCAAAACAATAATTCAATTAGAGCATTTCTAATAATGTTTACAGCAACTCAATGAAATATATAACAGCTTTTTTTTTTCTCCCCAAAAACCTATCATCCAAAGAAGTCATGCAATGAACTATGAATTTTATTATTTATGTCATTTTCAATGTTCTAATTGTTTCATGCATTTAAGCCATCTATGAAAATAAGAACCTTACAGTAAACAGATTTCATCATATAAATTTTAAGGATTCCATTTATATTTTCACAGCATTTCACCATAATACATATGATAAAAGTGACACCCCAAAGCTGTTTACTCATATCATAAACTGTACGTCAAGACAATTACTTACACAGGATTCAACAAACAATTCCTGTTCCAGGTAGTAGGCATGGAGATGTTGATGATTGACGGATGCAAATGCACAAAGACTGTTGAACCCCAAACGGAAGCCACTATGGAAATCAAACAGACAATACAAACTAGTTTGAAAAAAAAAACAAAATAGACAAAAAAACAATACTAAGATATCCTTTTTCAAAAAAACTATTTAAATTGTATTAAAATGGTTAAACCATATTCAAATTAAAGCATATTTATTGTATAAACACTATATACTATATGAACAGTATATATGTATATACTGGCAACACACTAGACTTGTACTGATATCTACTGACAACACACAAGACTTGTACTGATGTCTACTGACAACACACAAGACTGACAACACACTAGACATGTACTGATATCTACTGACAACACACTAGACTTGTACTGATGTCTACTGACTACACAATAGAGTTGTACTGATATCTACTGACAACACACTACACTTGTACTGATATCAACTGACAACACACAAGACTTGCTCTGATATCTACTGACAACACACAAGACTTGCTCTGATGTCTACTGCCAACACACTAGACCCATACTTACTGATGTCCACTTAACAGAAGAGTCTCCATAGCTAATTGTATTGCACTCTCTGTCAACATCTGAAGAAAACAAAGATCCAAATGAATAGAAACATTTCCTAGATGTAACAATCTTTCAGGCCGTTGAATGTTTTACTGATCCAATCCATACATTCTTTAATCACAATTAATATAGGAAATATATTTTTATTAATATTCATCATATTGGGACGAAGTATTTATTTGTAGTTATATGAAAGCAATTTAGCAATATATGAAAAATGTATTAAAAATTCTGGTTATTTCATAATTTTCTTTTCATCCAAATCGTTACTGAGTTAACAGAGAAAATCAGTGTCATGCCATCGGATAATTTATTGTTTTTCAATAAGTTTGTGGCCAGCATTGTTATTTGATTATCTCGTCCATCAGATGGATGTGCTATAAAAACTCACCTGTGGTTTGAAGGAGTAAACGTCTGGTACTAGGAGGACATGGCCATACTCTAAAGGGCTAATGTTTATTATAACCAGATTCTGTGGCTGAAATGGCAACAGACAAAAGAAAACATTAACAAGTTCATAATGCATGAAATAGTCCAATATAGATTTATCTTTACTTTGGTCATCTGAGACAGTTTCAGGCGACCAAAGGTTAATGTCTTTTGTCACTGTCATTGTGCGTTGTCCTGCATCAACTGTGCATTTGTAAACAATTTATATTTTCAACTTCTGAATACCCTTTAACCAAGTTTAATGAAGTTTTGCAGAAATCTTCCATGGCAAGGGATGAACCAAATTTGTGAAATATATTGTCCCCACTCTCAAGGGACCTTAAGGATGGGACTAAATGGGGTCAAATTGACTCAAATGTCAAAAATCTCCTCTAAAGAAATCACATCCTTTGTACAGAAGGATGGGTCTTCAGGTGCTGTAATAAAACTGTGAATTTCATGACCCCAGGATCTCATATTTCCTCCTGAAGAGGGATTAAAGTTTACTTTAGATCATATTAGGAAATGACATTTCTGAGCAGACTTTGTTCAATTTCCAATGGAAATAATTCAAACTTGATTAGAATAACTAATGACATATTGACATATTATTTGTGGTTTACCTTTACCCTATGTAACTCATTATTTAATCTGTGTGTATCAAGAGTTCTTTACCCTGTGTGACACTAAAGTTTGTCCAGTACCTAATTTTATGCTGTGACACACTGATTGTTCTGTACCTAACTTTATCCTGTATGACACACTGTTTACCCTGTATGACACAATGTTTACCCTGTATGACACAGTTTACCCTGTATGACACACTGTTTACCCTGTATGACACACTGTTTACCCTGTATGACACACTGCTTACCCTGTATGACACACTGATCATCTTGTACCTAATTTTACCCTGTGTAACACACTGATCATCTTGTACCTAATTTTAACCTGTGTAACACACTGATTATCTTGTACCTAATTTTACCCTGTGTAACACACTGATCATCTTGTACCTAATTTTACCCTGTGTAACACACTGATCATCTTGTACCTAATTTTACCCTGTGTAACACACTGATTATCTTGTACCTAATTTAACTCAGTGTAACACACTAATTATCTTGTACCTAATTTAACTCAGTGCAACACACTAGTAATTATCTTGTACCTAATTTTACCTTGTGTAACACACTAATTATCTTGCACTTAATTTAACTCAGTGCAACACACTGATTAGCTTGTACCTTAATCTTCCTAGGTGTCTACACACTATCCTGTACTTACAGCATCATCCTCTGTATCATCACACATTTCCCCCTCCACACTTGTTGTATCAGGAGGACTTTCAGTCTTTCTATCCAACAAGAACAACACCTCATCAGGCTTTATACGGGAAAAATTGAAGAGGTTAAGGTTAAATGGCTGATTTACGATGGTGATCTCTTGGGGTTTCCTTCGCTCTGTGGCCCTTTTGACATTAAGCTAAAAATGATCAGAACAGGAAACATTACTGTATGTTATCAGAGTACAACAAACGTCAGCATAACTCTTCAAGTAAGTATATTTAGTATACCATAAAAGGCAGATAACAATGTTCTGATGAACGTCAAATTTACCTGTTTGATTGTTAGTTTACATAATGATCATTAGCATAACAAAGTTTTTCTTTGTGATATAATTGTGTAACATCTCTTCAAACACCTCTGATATACATCAAATGTAGAACTCTATGGGTGACCTACAATATTACATCACTTCCTCTCTATTTTTTCCAATGTACAATGGATATGATGAGATTGTGAGTTTTTAGTGGAGAATACATCATTATAGCTCAATGGCTCTATGCAGAACATTAAAAGTTACAAAAAGATTACATCACATTCATTTTCTCAATAAATTTATTGAAACCTAACATGTTTATATAAATCATACCAGATGTTAACTGTTCTTTCTGAGCATTGTATTGATAAGACAAAATCTTTCCCTACAGCAATGATTTGTAAAATAAATGGCAACTTTAATTTTCTGTAAAAGACTTTTTGAAACTTTGATTGCTGACTTGAAACAATCCTCCAGACAGACGATCAAAAAGTTAGATTTCTCTGTCATATATTGGAACTGGAAGGAATTTTTATTGGTTATTCAAAGTAACATTATTGACCCAGATAATTATCTTGTAGTAATCAAGTAATCATCACCTGAGCTACATATCTTTTCTCCCCTGGAATGATTTTAGTTTCCACCTTGTCCAGGTGATACCTAAAGTGTCCATTCTTCATACATTCATCCCACTTTCCTCTCAGCAGTTTGTCAAACTGGAAAAAATAGGAGATCAGACAAGTTGTACAGAGGCCAAATAAAATTTAATAGAATATTAACATATACTGTTAATTACATCATGATGGATATACATGCTGTTGTACTTGCCTCACTGAGATGATACTCCTTGTCATCCCAATGTTTAGTGTCTGTAGTCAAATCTTTATCATCGTAATGGAAAGAATCCAGATCCTAATAACAAAAGAAAAACATTTCAATTCATAATCACAAAAAGTCATATATTGGTGTAGTATTGTATTGTGAAGCTCAGAGTGTGGTTCTTCTAGTTACAAATTTTCTTTACCTGATCCAACCAGAGACTATAAGATATTGTTCCAATATCAGATTTGCACACTACCAAAATGAATGGCTGTAGTAGAAGTATGTGTACTTGTGAATGGAGAGACACAATAACTGGAAGTGTCACATGGTTGTCATGCCAGTATTTATCTAACACAAGACCACTTTTTCTGCCTTTACAATCAGAGAACATTGTCAACAAAGCAAATTTTGGTATTCCTTTGTCAAGTACATTACCATGCAGAACTTGAAACAACAGTCAGAAAAACTACAGTACTACAAATTGTCAGAGGCCACACATTCAAACTCAGGACCTCATTATGCATAATTATAGACGTTTTAGGAAAGATCATTTGTTGCTTTCCTGAAGTACAGATTTTACTACATGTACAATATATTTAACTCTCATTTGCGCTGATTGAATAAAATGTACATTTTGTTGTTAGGGCGCTAATTTAGTTATCCTGTGGTGATTACTAGGGTCATTAAGTACACAAGACGTCAGGCTGATAAATCTTCATTTATAAATGTACCAACACAAATCTCTTTATCCATGTCAATAATTTTTTAGATACGAGATTTAAACACATATTGAACAATGATCACAAACAGGAACGTTTATCCAACATGAAGCTGTTTTTTATGAAACGACAACAATTAAAAAATATCACAATCAACAGTGCGTTAGCCGGTTAGCTGCCACTCCCTGACTTGAAATAGAAAGGCCAGAACCATCACAAAATCTTGTAATTAACATTCATTATTCTAATTAAATAAATTGCTATCACACCTTAAATCCGTTTGTTGTTTGCATAGCTATAACTGATTGAAAGTGAAGCACACGTGTACAGAGATGTCGCTGTCAAGTCAAAACAAACACAAACAAGTCTGATCTCAGTCCGTGTTGCGTTTGAAATGTACATCTAAATCACTAAATTGAATAATTATAATATCCGGAATCCACTCATCTTTTCACAAAATAACACACTTGCTACAAATATTTAAGTTTCTTTAAAACTTATGTGTATTTGTCTTTTGTTTGTTTTTGTTTTTTTATTCATGTAGTTAGTTCATCGCATACGACATTTTTATTAAAGCATAGCATATGATTTTAAACGCAGCTGTATCAGCAGAATACTTTTCTGAAGGAACGATAAATGATTTTTCGAACATTTAATATAAACACGATTTAATATGATATCCAATGGACGCAGGATCTCTGTCCATATCAGTCAAATGACTTTAATTCAAATAGTTTAATAGCAACTTCAAGAGTCGAAGTATCATAATCTTCAATAGAAACTAGAAAGTTATTTTTCATAAGTGCATTGTTCATCCAATCTTATTTTAAACTGTTAAAAAACATATGATGAGTCTACACATAATATTGCGGAGTTGTTCCATATACATTTTTTTATCAATATTTGCGTTGACAAAATTTCCCTCCGAAATTCGGTGTTACAACATTTAAAAGATATTTTGTGAGTGTGTCCTCTTGCCCTGTCGTTACTATCCACGACCGATGTAATTGATTTTATTCGGATCCATAAGCTCGACATGTCTCTAGGTTATATGGCACGAGTGTTTCATTATTTGACCATCTAACTACTAGGTAGCTATAGGTAGCGCTAGAGAAAGAATCTTCGAGCGAGTCCGTTAATACTGCTTGCTTTGTTTCCGATAAGTTGAAAGTGTGTTGTGAAGTTGAAATCTCCATCCACTGTTAGTCTGATGTACTTACTGGTATACATGGGGCTTGCGCACCTCCCAATGTAAACTTTAACATTTTTTTTCGATCACTGTGGATGTTCTTCAGTCGCCTCCTAGGTTTCACATTTTGCAACTTAGCATCACTGACGAGTCCTAGAAGAATGAAACAGCTTTATGGTGCAGTTTAATGTTTCGCTCTACTGTAACTGTATATTGTCTGTGTTTTAACTTGTGTTATTCACTTATATGTCTTTCGTAAATTCTTAATTTCCGGATGCAATCATTTCTCTTAATCTTCGATATAACTGATGAAACTTCAAACTTCTAATGGTGGATTTCAGGAATCACTCATCTGACCAGGCTTGAAGTAAAACCTTTCGTAAAACGTTCTCGATATTCCTTTTATATATATATATATATAACTTCTGGAATTCCTAGTTGTCTCGTATCTCGTTTATACAAACAATAAAAGGTTATCGGACCTAGTGCAGTCTCTTGCGTAACGATGTCACTAATGGATATGTATCACACGTATCTCCTTTTGTATTCAGTTCGTACATGCATGCATCGTTTAATACTTTTACGATATTATATGAAAAATGACGAGTTAAAACAAAGGCGATATTGGTTCTGTTTTTGACAAAGCATACTTAATTTAACTTGTCAAAATCTCCAGTAGAAACTAACTCTCGGTTGTCAAAAACAACATATTTTTCTACCTAATAATCGTGTCATAACATTAACTCCATATGAAAGACAGTTCGTTGCGAGGCAGAGCCAGAGATATCTGATTTGTACAGAACGTTCGCACGTGTACTATGCAGCTAGTGCGGGCTGATATCCATGTTGTAATTTAAATGTCTACACCACCTTTTATTTCTTTCCAAGAAATACCTTTTAATTTGTATACGAGATTCTTATATGCGGGCACTATACGTAACATTATCATTTATGTTTTGATTTTTAGGTTGAAATTGGTTAATTGAAATCCTTCAAATTCTGAAAGTCTGTCGAGTAAACAAACATGGTGTTATCTTTGGAAGCTTATTATGACGTCATAGTCAGCAATTGATTAATGCAACTTATGACGTCATAAGTGTAGTCAATGGGTAATAGGCCTAGTATAATCCCGCAACCATGCTGCATATGACCCAACAACAAGCTATGGAAGTAACGATGGTGGCGAAACAGATGCTCAATGAGCATTCCTACACATGCAAACAGTCCCCTGAATCGGCAGGATGCAAGGTGTCTTCACCAAACATGCATTTGTCCTTTCCCATAGTAATACACGTGAATGAGCGAGAGGGCGTTGATCCTAGCACGGGTTTCCCCCGTCGGACTTACTACGTGCCTTGCCACCGAGGAGATCTGCTGTATCCACACTGGTTACACAGTTTGTTGGATCGCGAACTTAAGTTCTACACCTCGTTAGATAATGAGGCGACACATGCGGCTAGTATGTTCCGAGAGGGACAGTTGTTGATGCAGAAACTGAGGTCTATATCTGCGAAGTTTTCGTGGGATCCAAAGAACCCAGTTGGACTGAAACTGTCATTGGCTGAAAACCATGGAAATTGTCGCCTGCCACAGCGAAGACGACAGAAGGGTCTATTGGCTGATTGTGTGTTCTTAGACAATAAAAGTGATTGTGTCGCCATCCAAGGTATGTTTGAAAACAATAGTGCCGATTGCTATAGTTGGCGTACTCATGTGTGTAATAATGCGGAAATCCAATAAACGAAATGCTTCATCTTCTGGAACAAGTATACATAATTAAAAAAATAACCAAGGAAGGACGAAAGGAGGAGAGAGCAGACTATAGAAATACGAATACATAATAAAAGAAAGCAACTGGGATGCTTTAACTATGGAAATCTCAACAAATCATTTAACTGTCGGAAATCACATGTTGTATACCATGTCCGGCACAGACAGCTCCAGAATACCAACTTATGTGTATCGGGATGATAAGAGAAGTATATGTGCATGCACAGACAATACGAATACTTGTTTGGCAATCTTTAATTAGTCGGAAGGGGAACTCGCGGACAGATAGTCAGAACATTTGGACTGTTATTTGGGATGAAAAGTAGATACCGAGGAAGTCATTTACATAGTACTCAGCGGGGACGAACCGTAACGAGTGGTATTTTGAAATTAGGCTTGCTGTAAACTTATATATATGGAAGCTGGAACGAATGCTAGATGCTTTGTGCGAATTGCGTTATTACAAATGCTAAATGTGAAATTCTGAGTGCGAAACGCTTTGTGTGAATTGCTGTATCATATTAATATGTGAAATGTTGTATACTAAATGTTTTATGTGAAATAGGTCGTAGTACTTTAGATGCTGAATGCTCTGCTCTTGGTCGTCTTCACACAACCGTGGACACTTTGTGTATCTTTTCCAGTGCGATCTTCTCCAATCAAACATTAAGCATTTAAAATTTGGCATAAAGCGATCTGCAAAAAACATTAAGCATGTCCTGTTTGCGTTCCATAGCTATCTGAATAAGTTTCCTTTTTATAAAGCATAATCGATCTAACTTGAAGCTGGAAGGACAGTGTTTAGGGGCAACATATTTGCGTAAAAAACACTTCACGAACATCACTATTATGATTTACAAATGGCTATATACACATGTATATGTACAATTAAGGAAATGTACACCAGTGAAATAACTAAAAATATAGAAAAAAGGAATATATGTAATATTACATACTTAAATACAAGCACGTGTCTACCTGACAAAGGTTCCAGTTAACATCAATAAAATCTTCGAACATAATACGTTTTCTTATTGATCGACGCATGTTTGATCCGTACACTTTGAACAGGATCACAGAGACAATTTATCGATGAACATTATTAAGGAAATGTGTCGTCATCGGAAAGTCGTCTGAATCCATGGTAACAGTATACATACCAATATACACATACAAACCATTTGGGTACACATGTACTCGACAGGAAACAACGGTATGATTTGGAAAAAGGAAAGACAAAGAAGTGAAAATTGAAAATGAAAGACCTGTTGTTAACAAAATAAATTGTATATCGACAATCACCAGGTCGTGTGTAGTTCACAGTTGTGACCAGTTTCATTAACGATCACCAGCTGGTCTTGTGTAGTTAACATTTTGACCAATCTCATTAACGATCACCAGCTGGTCTTGTGTGGTTAACATTTTGACCAATCTCATTAACGATCACCGGGTCTTGTGTAATTAACAGTTGTGACCAGTTTAATTAACGATCTCCAGGTATTGTGTAGTTAACAGTTGTGACCAGTATGTTTGACGATCACCAGGTCTTATTTTAATCGACACTCGTTCATATTAAATTCATAGTTTGACCTTACATTGTTTATTATTTACAGTTGTTAAGAGGACATATATGTAAATAATTTGGTTGGAATATAGTTCTCAGAAATCTGTGTACAGTGTACTTGTTGACATGTGTACATACCTATAAACCGTTTGTAAATTTTTTTTTTTTTTTTTTTATTCTAAATTCGGTATTCTTAATCTAAGAAATTATAACGGTATTTGTATATCCCACCCCTATTACATTATTGGCGTCGAATAACATGTACATAGAAGCAACATGTCGCTGAAGGTAGTTTTTTTTGTTTTTGTTTTCTAAAGGTAAGCTATTTTCGATGATAATTGGGATGCCATTCCCCGGAGACGTGATGCGTGACGTAGAAGACCCAGGGACGAAAATTGATGTCGGGATGTTTTTCCGTACACTGGAATGTGCACCCAACATCCGTGCTAAATGGACCATATCACTAACACGAAAAGACATCCCAAAACATGAGCTAGACGTTATTAGCGAAAGGGAACGTGAATTGGAGGATTTCGATGACGACGATGAGACCTTGGATGGTGACGAGTCGGATATGGAAGATGATGAATTTTAACTAAAACAACTCAAAAGAAAAAATACAAAACGAGAAGAACATTTCATGCCGCAAAATGAATTGAGTTTCTTTGACCAGGGATGGTGTGCATCTCTGGTGAGGTCTTTTATTAAAATCTTATATATTTGTCTGTATGTAATTACAAGGTTGAGTTTTGTTTTTCTAAATATTTATAGATATTGAAAGGTGTCTTGCGCAAACACTAACACATAGCATCATCAATGTACGTTTCTGGAAATGTTAGATTAATATGTTCTATTCCAATTTATACTTAACCATGGATTTCCATGTAGTGATGTAAAACCTATACACACACACACACACACACACACATATATATATCATTGGTTTGCAAGGGTCGATATGCTTGTTCAAATAACGTCAGGTTGATAATGTAGGTAAGATCTACTTTGTAGGATATTGTCTTATCAAAACAGGGGATAAGGCAAACATCATTATGTAACAATGATGTACATGTCCAATTGAAACAAACAGTCCAATGAGATTGATACAAAACCTTGGGTAGGGATGATGTCATTATAGAAACTGGTGTAAGAAAGTAGGACAAAGAATATACATTTGTACATCATTATAAGGTAACTTTGAAAGGCTGGTGTAACAGTGGGTAAGGAAGTACACAAAGCAAATACATTATTATGATGTAATTTAGGGAGGCTGGTGCCACAGTGGGTACGGAAATAGGACAAAGCATATACATTATTATGATGTAATTTAGGGAGGCTGGTGCCACAGTGGGTACGGAAATAGGACAAAGCATATACATTATTATGATGTAATCTAGGGAGGCTGGTGCCACAGTGGGTAAGGAAATAGGACAAAGCATATACATTATTATGATGTAATTTAGGGAGGCTGGTGCCACAGTGGGTAAGGAAATAGACAAAACATATACGGTACATCATTATGATGTAATTTAGGGAGGCTGGTATCACAGTGGGTAAGGAAATAGACAAAACATATACATTATTATGATGTAATTTAGAGAGGCTGGTGCCACAGTGGGTAAGGAAATAGACAAAACATATACATTATTAGGATGTAATTTAGGGAGGCTGGTGCCACAGTTGGTAAGGAAATAGACAAAACATATACATTATTATGATGTAATTTAGGGAGGCTGGTGCCACAGTAAGGAAATAGGACAAAACAAATACATTATTATGATGTAATTTAGGGAGGCTGGTGCCACAGTGGGTAAGGAAATAGGACAAAGCATATACATTATTATGATGTAATTTAGGGAGGCTGGTGCCACAGTGGGTAAAGAAATAGGACAAAACATATACATTATTATGATGTAATTTAGGGAGGCTGGTGCCACAGTGGGTAAGGAAATAGGACAAAGCATATACATTATTATGATGTAATCTAGGGAGGCTGGTGCCACAGTGGGTAAGGAAATAGGACAAAGCATATACATTATTATGATGTAATTTAGGGAGGCTGGTGCCACAGTGGGTACGGAAATAGGACAAAGCATATACATTATTATGATGTAATCTAGGGAGGCTGGTGCCACAGTGGGTAAGGAAATAGGACAAAGCATATACATTATTATGATGTAATTTAGGGAGGCTGGTGCCACAGTGGGTAAGGAAATAGACAAAACATATAGGTACATCATTATGATGTAGGGAGGCCACAGAAATGACAAAACATATACATTATTATGATGTAAAGAGAGGCTGGTGCCACATAAGGAAATAGACAAAACATATAAAGGCTGGTGCCACATATACATTATTATGATGTAATTTAGGGAGGCTGGTGCCACATAAGGAAATAGGACAAAACAAATACATTATTATGATGTAATTTAGGGAGGCTGGTGCCACAGTGGGTAAGGAAATAGGACAAAGCATATACATTATTATGATGTAATTTAGGGAGGCTGGTGCCACAGTGGGTAAAGAAATAGGACAAAACATATACATTATTATGATGTAATTTAGGGAGGCTGGTGCCACAGTGGGTAAGGAAATAGGACAAAGCATATACATTATTATGATGTAATTTAGGGAGGCTGGTGCCACAGTGGGTAAGGAAATAGGACAAAGCATATACATTATTATGATGTAATTTAGGGAGGCTGGTGCCACATTATTATGATGTAATTTAGGGAGGCTGGTGCCACAGTGGGTAAGGAAATAGGACAAAACATATACATTATTATGATGTAATTTAGGGAGGCTGGTGCCACAGTGGGTAAGGAAATAGGACAAAACATATATATGATTATGATGTAATTTGGGGAGGCTGGTGCCACAGTGGGTAAGGAAATAGGACAAAACATATATATGATTATGATGTAATTTGGGGAGGCTGGTGCCACAGTGGGTAAGGAAATAGGACAAAACATACATTATTATGATGTAATTTAGGGAGGCTGGTGCCACAGTGGGTAAGGAAATAGGACAAAACATATATATGATTATGATGTAATTTGGGGAGGCTGGTGCAACATATCGGGTGCTGATATACATGTGTAAGCATTAGGTATATATATCAGGCCTGAGATATAGATGAATATCTAAATGTGCATTTGTTTTATAAAGATGCTGCCCTACCAAATCCTCAAGTAAACAGTAATTTAATATGACTGGTAAATTGTATTACCATGGAATGTATTTAGATTAGAAAAGTAGTACACATCATGGAAAAGACTCATTTTTGTCTATTACTATTATTCTAATCATGACTCAGGGTGAGCCAGTCCCATGCTAGGATTAAGTGCTATCAAGTTTTCAAATGGATGACCTTGACCTAGTTTAAAGGTCATTGTGCCAAAGGTGTTAAAAAATCTTCATACAACTTCTCAATAACAGAAAGGCTCAGGGTATTATGAAATCACGCCAGTAGCATGAGTTGGTAATTGGTTATCAAAGTTTAATAAAATGGATGATCATGCCCCAGTTTCAAGGTTAAAGTGGCCCAAGTCTTAATTGTATAATCTTAAATCACATCTTGTAAAGAACATGAAGACCACTGTATTGAGCCATAGTACAAGTGACATAAGACTCCCCATGTTTGATCAAATTAATAACCTTGACATTCTTCCAAAGTATCCCAGTATTTTTTTCTGAATAAGAAGAGACCCTTTGTCATTTGGTTTTACTTGCAATATAACAGAAAGAAACGGTATGTTGCATTGTTTGGGATAAACTTTAAAACAGCCAGAATGTATTTTTAAAACAAAGTCTCTGTAGAGACTGTAGAACAGAGGAGTGATACAAAACTGTTGGACCACTTGTTATCAAAAAATCGTCTTTACCCATCACAAGTAACTACATGATGTACATTACACAAAATAGGATGTCATATAGCATTATGGAATGTGGGTCATGGATAATACACATTTTAGATTAACAAGAAACAGAAATGAACAATTTTCAAGTAATTTTATTTGACTAGTTGAAATACATCTCAATGGTGTTCCAAAAATGCTTCACAAAGGATACACAAAGTATTTAAATTCAACTTTTCATGTGAATAAATAATTACTCATTAAAAAAAAAATCATAAAAATTTCACAAGCCATACGTAAGCTTAATGTTATTTTGGGGAGAACTTCCTTATTGTGAAATCAAAATATCTAAAGAAAAAATCCTCACTGTTAGATCAACAGCATGATTTTTCCTGGTTTAAAGCAATGGGCATGTGATACTGTTACAACATTATGTAGCTAACAAGGTGTCTTTATATAATCAAGCTGTATTTATTCACAGCTACAATGACCTTTAAATTTTAATCATCAGAAATGGAATAACACCAGATTTTCAGTCTCATTCAGTCAAACTTGAAGTGATAGAATTGTTACTAAACATTTTCATTTTGCCTGATAAGGATTATACAAAAAGATTATGCAAAGCATTAGTGTAACAACTTCTCATCTCCTCAAACTTGCCCTCTCTGTTAAATGAAAAGGTATATAAATTTAACATATTTTCACCTCTTCTTAGATTTGCCCTCCCTGTTAATGCCCCCAAAAAGTAGAAGTTAAATGAAGGCAAACATCTGATACAAAAAGCAAATTTCAGATACATAAAACGGATATCATATACACAAATAACACCACCTCACTTCTAGTGTTTCTCTTCATATGTTAAGCTGGTTTAAAATATTGCACATAACAGCAAAACCCTGTCCATATAGCATACAACCTTTGGTTTTATGTCTAGATTTACCCTGTTCTATTTGAAATAGGTATTAAATCTAGCCAATTTACCATTAGCCAACTTAACTCAGAATGAAATTAGCCTGACTAACAACATTTGAAACAATTAAAGTATGAATTAGTCCAGCACAATGACTTACTTAAATACTTTCTGAAATGATGTGTAACAATAGAATAATATTTTAATTTCAAATTTTGACAAGGTAGGAGTCACTGACAGTCATAGATCTGACCCAGCGATGAGGAGTGTTGGTAGGGTCCTGTACAGGAATGTGTAGGAATCTAACTCGCAGCCCAGAACATGTATACTTTGATATCTCAAACTCCACAACCATTGGCCCTAATTCTTGTTTGTTCAATTTGCCATTGCCTTGATTGATCACCTGAAAAAGAAAAAAAAAGTGTATCAACCCCATGTATTTCAACCAATGAAAACACTTTGCCAATTCAGAGAAACAAATTAAACCTGATTCATTTAAATTTAATTTGAATTTCTAAAATATCAGCACTGGTAAATCAATTAAATACTGCTCATATATTTCACTAAAATAAATTCTGCTATAGACCAAGTGCTGTCATACCCTAAATCGAGCCGTTACTTCAGTCTGCCCTGGAAGTTTCTTTATTTTCCATACAATTTTCTTGTCATCTTCCTTTTGTCTCAACTCTGCCATCTGTCCTGGGCCATCTAGGTGTTGTGAAACACTGCATTTATATCAAAAGATAATGTTACAAATCATATCAAACATTTGCCAAATAAATGTTAATGGTCAATCTGTATATATAACACTTACAATAAAAATAAATAAAAATATAGAAAGCAGAGTCATGAAACTTGAATTATTGGTAAAGATAAACTAAGAATTCATTCATATGTTGGTAGAAAATTTTATTTACTACATAGCTAGACAGACTTTTCTACAATCTTGTTAGTATCCAAACTCTATCAACTTAAAATGTTCTAGGAAGATTTGTATCCAACTAAAATCAAGGGTAACAGTAAAAGTGCACAAAATTAAACAAATGTTTTTTCTAAAGTTCTGATACTCCACCAGTTCTTCCAATGATCTTGATGATAGCATATCACAACATGGGGCCAGAGTTACAGATGTAGCATGTCACAACATGGGGCCAGAGTAACAGATGTAGCATGTGTCCCAACATGGGGTCAGAGTAACAGATGTATCATGTCACAACATGGGGCCAGAGTAACAGATGTATCATGTCACAACATGGGGCCAGAGTAACAGATGTAGCATGTCACAACATGGGGCCAGAGTAACAGATGTAGCATGTCACAACATGGGGCCAAAGTAACTGATGTAGCATGTCACAACATGGGGTCAGAGTAACAGATGTAGTATGTGTCCCAACATAGGGGCCAGAGTAACAGATGTAGTATGTGTCCCAACATTGGGCCAGAGTAACAGATGTAGTATGTGTCCCAACATTGGGGCCAGTGTAACAGATGTAGTATGTGTCCCAACATTGGGGTCAATGTAACAGATGTGGTATGTTAAGAGTAACAGCATATTTAGCATGCACCTATCTATCATTTTTAAGGGGTGTTACGTACACTATTACAGCTTTTTTGCAGACAAGTGACCCCAGGATGTACCTAGAACCAATTTTTCATTACCTTCCCTAGTGACAACTACAAAGCCAACACTTTTGAATGAGCTGAAGAAAACATGCTTCTTACCAAATCAGTCAACAGAGTCTAGCACTTAACCAAGTCAACATCTAAAATACTAGTAGTACACATACATGGTCATACATTGTCTAGGGAAATGATAATTACAAAACAAGTAATAACAGGCAGACTGACCTGGTAGTGTTGTGAGGTACTGGGATCCGCACACAAATGTTCACTGCCTGTGTATTTACTGGAGATTCACTCTTCAATCGCAGAGTCAAGGACATGTCTCTGAAGGTTTAGACAATATAATTCAAGGTCATTTATTTTCATAAACTTTGTTGGACTTCATCATAGGAACATACCAGACAAATATCATGCCTCTAGGCTTTTTAGTTCATGAGAAGTTGTTTATATGTTTCAACAAATTTGACCCCTGTGACCTTGAAAATCAGTCAAGGTAATTTGTTTTCACAAACTTTATTGAGCTTTATCATAGGAACATACCAGCCAAATATCATGGGTCTAGGTCTTTTACTTCATAAGGCCTAGAGGGCCTTATGAACTAAGGGCCCTTCAAGCCAGGTGAGCTAATAAATGCTTATTTCAAAAACATGCTAGTAAAAAAAACTGATTATTAGAAAATAAAATTGTTTAAATGATGTTACTCAGGTGTTGAATTCAATAGCTTCAACTGCTATACACCCGTTTGTGAAATTGAAAAAAAAGAGTGGTCAGATGAACAATTCTTGTTTCATTGTGTTTTTAAAACTGTAACAAATGATGTTGGTGCCTTTTCCTGCTGAAACTGTATTTAATTCTAATATCAGGTACCAAGTTTTAATAAAATTACTATTAAGTAACCCCTACATACCGGCTGTTTTCTGTGTGGTCCACAAATGGAAGAATTCTGAACGGTGGACTGAGAGCACCTTCCCCAGACACACTGTAGGTCATCAAGGAAAGCTGAAACAGATCTTATCTCTGTAACATCAATTCGTCAAAAACATCTAAAACAAGTCTGGTGTACATTGAAATAACCTGCAACTTTTTATGAATATGCAATGAGTATACAAACAGCTTTATTATTTCTATGACACCAGAAGTAAGCCTTTTTGTCATTGTTTTTATTACTCATTGGCATTATGTAGCAATGTACATATCTACAAATTCTTGTGTGGATGGCTTATCTTATCTTATTTACAAAGTATTTGCAAATATTTACCACTTACATCTTATCTAATTTTGCTGATGGTAACTTACACCTTCACACCATTCCATCAAAGTTCATTAACATTTTCAGCAGATATAATGGTGAAACCAATTCCTACTAAAGAATTTAAAAAGCTCCTATGACATTATAAGAGGTTACACGAGTGTTTGTTGTATACAAGAATACTTATTATGTACCAATGTGAGTTTAATTTTTGACATCAGTTGAGGAGAACTGATATGACCTATTGTGAAATGCAGCTAAGTTAATTACTTATTACAAATATATGGAAATAAAATGATCCATTACAATCCATTTATCTAACCTTCATCACTTAATCTCAATGGTCTGAAAGTTGGATAACACAATGTATTGTGGTAGAACATTTTCTATCAAATTAAATGATGTATCTTCTCCTTAAATAGTTCTTATATACCTCCCCAACAGATGGTTGTATCTTCAACACCCTAGATTTCTCAAACTCGTCAAGTTTGACTTTCTGGTGAAAAGAACAGTGGTCCAGTTGTACTTGGTCACCATAGGCTGGAAGACACAAGAAAAATGAAAATGGTCAAATACTTGTGACATGTCATAAAAACTTTGTACTAGATGTATTGTCAATAAATCAAATACAGTATTGATGGGAATACATGTCTTTCTGACAAATAAATGAACTCTGTTGTAAAGTCAGAGAACAGCATTAAACAAATATTCTAGCAATAGTATCTAAAAGATTTCTGCTCTCTGTAATTGTGATTATTTGTATTAAATAGTGACATATACAACCTTAAAATAACCAAGACAGACAATTTCAGTAAAACAGAATCTGATCCTGATGTTTTATAACAACTAAGACAACTTCAGTAGAGCTGAATCTGATCCTGATGTTTTATAACAACTAAGACAACTTCAATTAAACAGAATCTGATCCTGATGTTTTATAACAACAAGACAATTTCAGTAAAATAGAATCTGATCCTGATGTTTTATAACAACTAAGACAACTTCAATTAAACAGAATCTGATCCTGATGTTTTATACCAACAAGACAATTTCAGTAAAATAGAATCTGATCCTGATGTTTTATACCAACAAGACAATTTCAGTAAAATAGAATCTGATCCTGATGTTTTATACCAACAAGACAATTTCAGTAAAATAGAATCTGATCCTGATGTTTTATAACAACTAAGACAACTTCAATTAAACAGAATCTGATCCTGATGTTTTATAACAACAAGACAATTTCAGTAAAATAGAATCTGATCCTGATGTTTTATACCAACTAAGACAATTTCAGTAAAACAGAATCTGATCCTGATGTTTTATACCAACAAGACAATTTCAGTAAAATAGAATCTGATCCTGATGTTTTATACCAACTAAGACAATTTCAGTAAAATAGAATCTGATCCTGATGTTTTATAACAACAAGACAATTTCAGTAAAACAGAATCTGATCCTGATGTTTTATAACAACAAGACAATTTCAGTAAAATAGAATCTGATCCTGATGTTTTATACCAACAAGACAATTTCAGTAAAATAGAATCTGATCCTGATGTTTTATACCAACAAGACAATTTCAGTAAAACAGAATCTGATCCTGATGTTTTATACCAACAAGACAATTTCAGTAAAACAGAATCTGATCTTGATGTTTTATACCAACAAGACAACTTCAGTAAAACAGAATCTGATCCTGATGTTTTATAACAACAAGACAATTTCAGTAAAATAGAATCTGATCCTGATGTTTTATACCAACTAAGACAATTTCAGTAAAATTGAATCTGATCCTGATGTTTTATAACAACAAGACAATTTCAGTAAAACAGAATCTGATCCTGATGTTTTATAACAACAAGACAATTTCAGTAAAATAGAATCTGATCCTGATGTTTTATACCAACAAGACAATTTCAGTAAAATAGAATCTGATCCTGATGTTTTATACCAACAAGACAACTTCAGTAAAACAGAATCTGATCCTGATGTTTTATACCAACAAGACAATTTCAGTAAAATAGAATCTGATCCTGATGTTTTATACCAACAAGACAATTTCAGTAAAATAGAATCTGATCCTGATGTTTTATACCAACAAGACAATTTCAGTAAAATAGAATCTGATCCTGATGTTTTATACCAACAAGACAATTTCAGTAAAATAGAATCTGATCCTGATGTTTTATACCAACAAGACAATTTCAGTAAAACAGAATCTGATCCTGATGTTTTATACCAACAAGACAACTTCAGTAAAACAGAATCTGATCCTGATGTTTTATACCAACAAGACAATTTCAGTAAAATAGAATCTGATCCTGATGTTTTATACCAACAAGACAATTTCAGTAAAATAGAATCTGATCCTGATGTTTTATACCAACAAGACAATTTCAGTAAAACAGAATCTGATCCTGATGTTTTATACCAACTAAGACAATTTCAGTAAAATAGAATCTGATCCTGATGTTTTATACCAACAAGACAATTTCAGTAAAATAGAATCTGATTCTAATTTATAACATTAGCACTAATCTAATTTCTAGGAAAATGTAAATACCTGTAAAAACTGACCTTTCTCACACAGAAATTACAACATCTTAACGTTAAACAATATAAACTGGTAGACAATTTTTTTGTGGAAAATTGGATCATGTTATAATGCATATATTACCTTTGAGAGCCCCTGCCTTAATGGCAAGGTCCTCATTCAGGCCGATTTTTATTTCTGGGCTGTCAGAAAGGAAATTCTTCATGTTTATGCTACCGTTGGCCTCAAGACGAGAAACTGTGCCCTGTAGAATGCAAATAAATCAGACCTTAACATAGTGAAGGTGCAACTGAACTTTCTAATATGCTAAAGCCACCTGCTTTTACCAGAGTGCAACATGTAACTGAATCTTTTACCACAGTACAGCAAATAATACTCATTCCAGACTTTCATTTTTTGCAAAGCCAGTCACATGATTTCCAACTTTAAAGAGTGCAAAGCCATATCTTCATTATGCTGATTTCTTTTTTTGCTTTTTTGTTTTTGAGATCAAAAAAATCAAACTGCTGATTAGAAATTATTACTATGACTAGACAGATGGATGGACATAAGCAAAACAGCGCAACAAATTGTTCTCCTCACGACGGAAATATTTACATTACACAGATATGTAAACATATACAGAAGATCTTACATGAGTGTCAATGTAACATGAAATTTATCATTATTATTATTATTATTATCATTGGAGTTTCATTATTTAATTTGTCATGGGCCATTAGCTGAGTAACATTCTAAATTATTCAACACTTTTAATAAACTGAATAATACATTGACACTCGTGTAAGATTCTACTTATCAGTATGATTTAACCTATGTTTCTGAAAACTAAGCTAAAACTCTTGAATAAATTTCCCTATAAGACAGGCTTATTTCAACCTTGATAGTACATTTTTGAATATCGTGAATTTGCAGGTATAGTACTGAAACAATCATGTGGCGTCATTAAGATGTGACTTATTCATAACATCAAAATGGTATTATCACACCTGTATCAACTCATAATATTTATGACATGGCACAACATTTTGTGAGAAAAGAACTTACATCACTGTTGATTACAGCTATTAATCTCTCAATCACATCAACAAAGATTTCATTCTTCTTGTGTTCCTAGAGAAAAAATATAAGTAAACTTGCATGTAAACCTTAGCAGTGAAACTTAGCAAAGCACACTTATATTTACATACACATGTAAACAAACATTGATAATTCATTTCCATGACACTCAGTCATTTAAGTAATTATGTTAAGTAATAAACTTTCTCTTCCATCTTAAGTAATGAGTATACATTTTAGCTTAATGATACAGATTTTTATTCTGATAATTGTTACATTTTTAGTTTTTATCTTACCCTTTTTTCATCTTCATATATGGATAACTTACAGTATGTTGTACATGTGTTTCCCTGACTCACATTGACACTGTGTTTACTCATGTCGCTTGGTTTTGCCTGATAAGCTTATGATTGATCAGTACATGTATATAGTAGAAAGTGTATTCTGAATTCAGTATACTCTGGTCAGGTAGGTTTTATTACACATTCTTCACAATATGCCTTGGGTTTGATTCTCTAGAACCAGCTAATGTCTAAGAGTTAATATATCACACACCACTAAAGAATTTTCATTTGAAATATTTAAAAGGTTTGCAATATCTAAAAGAAAAACTCACCTGGTCAACAGAGGAAGATACCAATGGTTTGCTGGATGCCGATCCTGATGCTACTTTTGTCTCTATACCAAACTACAACCACGAAGTCAAGATAAAATCTAACAATATACTTAAAATTTGAAATAAAGTTGGGATCAAAATTCAATGAAGGATCTGACAGTGATCTCTTTGCCAAGAACAAAAGCAAATTTATTTTAGTAAACGCATGGACCTCCTTCCAAATAGCCTTTACTTTTGATGCTATGAACGACTTGCCTTTAAGAGAACAATGAGGATCCATTTTTTTTATTTCAAGCAGCAGATATCATTACAAACAGAGATTCAATAAAGTTATGGCTGTATACATACACTCACAAACACTAAATTGGTAACTAGCTTAGTACAAACTTCATATACTAACCATTCGTGACCCAAGATCACTGGTTGGTTCTCTAGTAGATTTGATGATAACTGGGTCAGACTGAATGTAAGGTCGTAACTTTTCTGTTGTAGCCAATTGAACATAGCCATAATCCTGCAAAAAAGGAAAAAAGTCATTGGAAAGAAACATCTTACAGGCTTGAAGTAATAACATTAAGCCAATGTAATTAGTAACAATAAGCTCTCTTTTTCACAATAAAGATTAAGTTTACTTGTAAAGCCAATTAACACAAACATTTAATTCTTCAGTGAAATAAACCTTTTTTCTCAAAAAATTTAATTTGCAATTTTATTTCTTTTATATCATTTGCTTTGAATACTTGTAGTTGTCAATTTATTTCTCTCCTATACCAAATCTTAAACCTAGAAACAGCGATCAGTAATCAACATGCAAAACATTAAATAATATTTGTCAAGGTCATTCATTTAAACAGTTTACTGGTCAATGACCCTGGGCCTTATGGTTATTGAAGAAAATTCTTTGAAAATTTCATAACCAGTATATTTGACACTTCTGACATTCTAACTGGGTCAATGTCATTAATTTGAAAACACTTGATATCCCTTCACCCATGCATGCTAGTGGCCCTATGATGAATAGAAGTTAGAAATCTGAATGTCTTACTAATATTTCATCCAGTACTTCAAAAACAAGGAGACTATTCATCCGTACAGATTCTTCATTGACAACGCCACAAAAGTCTTTGCAAGTCTGATAAATTCTGTAAAAGAATTAAAAGAAAATGGAACATGTTACTTGGAATCATGGCAATTAGTACAATACTTACAGTATGATACAAATTTTGTTAGCTTACTACAAATGATTACAACATAAACTATAACATCTCAATCAACATAGAATCATTAGAAACAGAATGAGAAACATGATCCAATTGCAGGTAGAAAAAAAAGACTGAGTTATATAATAATCGTATGTAAGTATATTTAAGCTATGTATCTGTTTCTTTAAATGTTCTGAAATGTAATAAATGGAATTCATGATCCTTAATGTAGTTTTCATAAGGAAAGTTCTTACACAATGAACTTTGACCTCTTCCCGATAACTAAACAAGAGATCGCAGAGATTTTGGCATCCACCAAGGAATGATATCATTAGTTTTAAGAAAAATCTTAATCAATTCTTCTTGTTCTTTTTTTTACTATCCTGTTCTCTGTATCAACAGATGTGCAATATTGTTAACAAGGGAAAACTGCATATAAAATGTGAGAAATAGCTATCTAGTACTTTCTCTCTGAAGTTGATAACAATCTTGAATGTCAAAATTAAAGATGGCTACCGAGGGCAATTTTTTCCTATAATCAGTCCTAATATGGACCAGGTACAGCATATGGGACCAAGACATCCTTTATATGAAGTCAGATAAATATTTGTCCACATTTGTCAAGAAAAAATGATAACAATATTGATCTCGCAAAATCTGCCTTTTTCTACTTATTGTCAATGTTTCAAAACTGCACAACTAGGAATCATGGGTAATCTACATGCTGAGATTCATCCAGTGCTAAGAAAAAGTGTTAATAAAAATGGTTAAATAACAAGACAATGGACAAACAAACAAGTAACAAAAGAAGACCATTTAACAGCCATTCAGTCATCAGATGATGTGCCAATACATATGTATATTATACCTGTATATAACAATTTAAAATCAGATATTTCTGTCCTAACACTGATTATATATACAACATAACACTCTAATAGAAAATCTCATTAAGCAGTGAAAATCTATCAAATATTTTCTAATTTTTATTAAAGAAATAATTTTTTACACCTACCTGGTTAGGATCTCAATGACAAAGACTGGAGAAACATCTGCCTGAGAAGTGGCTACGAAGTACACACCATTTCGCTTCACATAATAATATGTAGTCCCGTTCTCTCTCTGAAATATGAACAGAAAATTAGACTTAATACAATGTATTAAGAAATTTAATTCAAATAAGTAAAAATCTAAAAGGTAATGGCCAAAGACATAATTGTTACAGTACTATGTACAATGTTCATTGACTCTCAGTACAAATGCCTACCAGTAAATGTACATAAAGTGGACAGCTAATCGATAAGTTAATGTCTAGACATTCCTTTATATCAAAAAGAATTGTTCAAGCTGAATTTGTACAAAATCACCGAAGGATGTCTATTATTACAGTTTGATAACAAATTTTGATAAAATAAAACATTAAAAGACCAATATAATATGGTTATAATACAAACTCACAATCTAATTAACAAGCATTTTAAATACTTAATTGATAGCTTTTGCATACATTGTAAATATATCATACTCACAAAGTGAGGAGGAAGCTGACTGGATTTAACGTCACGCAGTTTCTGAATGAACACATCTTTTGATGTTCCTTCACAATCAAATCTATCTTAATGTTCTTAAGGAAATTTAATGTTTTGTGGATATATGGTAATGATAAATTGTACAACACACAAATATTGACAAAAAAAAAATTAAATACAAATCGAGACATTGATTTCTGCTGTCTCTTCCCAAACAGTGAAACTCTTCTACATTTCACAGAACATTGTTGTGAACCAAGACATCTACGGGATTAAATTTTAAATTTCGTAAAATTTCTAAGACACAACATCTTTTCTGAGACAACTATTCACCATTGCTAAATGCATATTTCCCCATTTTTTTCAAAATTTCCATTTAGGAGATTCTGCATACAAGACTTCAAAATTCAGAAAAAAAATCAAGTTTGATGAATTAATACAGCACTGAAGTACAAGATCATATTTCAACATGTTTTTTTTTCAAAATCATTAACAAATAAGATGACTTAATGACAATAGAAGTCCAAAAACTCATTAAATGGACAAAATATCTTGCCTGAAAAATATCTTTTCAGGCTCTCTTGTGGAAATAAAAACTGTTTAGAATTTTTAGTAATTAAATGAATTGATCAAACCTATAAATACAGTAACAGATTGCAAAAAACTTTATGCTTAAAATAATTGTCAAAACTCGTTAACAAATACAACTGAACCAGTTAAAGTATGAGCACATCTCATTTTCTATTTACCTGAAATCTGGTTTAAGGCTCAGGAACCTATATCACTTTCTGTATATGAAAAATGCATCGTCTCTTACATGAGAGATGTCAAAAGGTCCCGATTTGGCATGGAACTTTAAACTGCATTATTTAGATGTACTAGATATATCTAACATATTGCTTGCATATAATAAAGCATGAATATTTTAATTCAATTCTTCACTTTATTTGAATGTTTATGAATTTTCCTTTAGATGCTGTATAAACACTTGGAGTGAAGCCAGGAAACAGACAGTTCAAAATAATATATATGTAGCAGGTCTGTACTGAGACAATCATTGGCCCATATATAGCTTAACTGGTTGAGTGTTTGTCTAGACTTTTGAGGGTCCCATGTTCAAACCCCTGTATGGCCATGTGTTTTTCCACTCCTTGGTGCAAATGACCTATCCTTGTTCAGGGACATATTTTAATGGACATATTTTGATACTGAGGGATGAGAAACAAGACCCAGCACAGACTTTTCTATTATCAACATAGGTATTTGTTCCTTGAACCCTTAAGTAAAAAAAGTCCCACTTTCTCAAAGATTTTATCTAATTTCATCCACCTATTCCTCATCCACTTCTATACTGTAAACATAAGAAGTGTGAAATTTGCAGCAACTGGCCTGATCAGAGGCATGTTGTATCCAGTGAGAAGTTAATCTCAATTTTAATAACACAAATAAATTAAAATGACATATATTTTATACAGAATTTTGTTGAATGTGGTTTATAATATAGGGTGGTATTTCCTTGATCACTGAGCTTTCTTCAACTATTTATCGTGAAAGCACTTTTTATATATTTTTGGAGAAATCTGATATATAAACACAGCTAGGCTATAGTTAACTTGAATTTCTTCAATGTAGCTTTTCAAAGAGATATAGACAGTTTTGTTACCCTCAATCAAATGTCCCCCACCTTGTTTTCAATGTACAAAGGATACCCCAACCTGGATTATATCTTCGGGGGCAAAGATTTATTAAAAGGAGGGAGGAATGTAGCAGAACAGGACTAGGGTGATTAATTGCAACAGGTAGCTTAATTGGTATAGTCTTTGGGGTTCAGAGGGCCCTGTATTCAAAGCGCAGTCTGGCAGGGCATTTTTTCAAACCTTACATTATATATCTATATAAATGTACTTCTTCTTGATTGTGCTTGTGTTCATATTTAGGACTTTGGTAAAATACAAGCCACAACTTATCATCACTGAGATAGATTAAACTTCTATTCAGCTTCATTGGTTCAGCATCAGACTAGTAAACCAGCTGTCTCCAGTTCAAATCCTAGTAGCGGCATGAGATATATCATGACCTCTGTTGCACATTAATGTATGGAGTACCTATTTCAGATTACTACTAAAAGAGCAGAAAATACTGAATACAAGTACGTGTATTTCTCTTTTTCTGATGTATAAATAGCTTATTTCACAACATCAAAATTCCGTGTTTTGATCACAGGTACCTGTATCTGGAACGTAAACAACACAAGCAAAAATCCAGTCCACTATGATCATACATGTGTAGTTTACGTTACAGATATAGGTGTCTGTATTTTGATCAACATTTTACCCGCATCTTAATACCATAACATAAAGAAAACATCCTAAACTGAAACCTCTTGTAGGAACCAACTTACAGTAATGAATGTGCACCTACTTCCGGATTCTTGTACCTTTTATGTTTTGCAAGAAGAAGATAAAGCGAAAGTAAGATTAATTCGCTCTGAAAAGGATACATGATTTGGCTGCAAGAACAGTGGTGTGATTGGACAGAAGAAAAATTTCAGAAAGCATGCTTGAGAAATATTTGAAACGTCACTTCCATATCAATTACAAAACCACAAGCTGTAACAAAATCGAAGCGCATAACTGGGCTTTTTCCATCGACTGCTCCATTAGCCAGCCAACCGTGGAGGTTTTTGCTTTGCATCCGGGGATATCCCATTTTCAAATCACGTCGCAAGCGAGACTTGAACGGTGTTTGGAAAATGCAATCAACAGTGCCACTATTACGGCTGGCAATGGGAACACAACAGAATATAGAGCTTTGACTTATTGATCAACGTTCATAAGCAGGTAACGTGATTTTTATTTGTTTGTTGAAATATATAAAAGGTCAAATACCCCACTTCCCGGCTTGATTTCTGTACAGCATTATACTAGTGTACACATTCTTCCTGTCAGACAGATGCAGATCTAGTTCACGAATTCATTCACAAAATGTGTCCTTATTTTTAGGTCACAGATGATAAACTTTAATGTTTGATATCTACAGTCCACGTTGTAAGCAAAGATAATATTCACACTGTTAAAATAAAGTCGATGTAGAACTTATACGTCGAACAATGAGAACAAGTAACAATATGTTATATGGTTCGAAAATGCCGGTCCAAATGTTGACCTCATAAAAGTTGACAGTGGTGGAGAATTTGTGGTATTTTAATCCTTTTATTGCTCATTCTGTTAGAAGTCAAGACAATGGGGTCGCCAATAGGGTGTTAATGTTGTTGATAATTTATTGCCACATGCCATGACCTGTATTATTGTTCAATAGGGTAAGTTATTTTAAGTTCTGCAAATATGCCTTGTTGAACAAAATTAAGTAAGAGAAATATATATTCCTTACGAGATTTCAGCTGAGCAATACAGTAAAATTTAAATCAGAATCTAGGCCTATCTTTATGTCCATTTTCTATCAAGGTAACAAAAACAAATCAACCTAGATGATTCAGACACTGTATTTGTGAAATTGTGAAACTGAGGTTTTATTTCATACTCCACCTATTTTGAATTTCTGGACTTGATCAGGACTTATTGTTTCAGTCTTGGCGATATATAATTACTGTTATAAAAATACCTAGTTGAATTCATCATATTGCATAATCATACAGGAAACATTATGTTGGAGTTTGTGCAGAGCGTACATTGAAAATCTAAAGATCAATGAACTAGCAAAAATATGATAAAACCTGTTTATGTATAAATGTTTACATGCAGTGTAATCTTGCTGTATGATTTTAGGATAATGTCTTGTTAACTACTACATTTACAAAAACATGATATACACTGTAATTATTGTTTAGTATTGTGATAGAATGAGGAAGGACACCCTATATATATATCTACTTAGATCACTTTGGTCTATATTTAGTCCAAAGTAGAAGTGGTAACCCTTTTAAATATGATCTTATCCTTGACATCCCTATAATTGAGAAGATGAAGTAACATATGAGAAGCAACTCAATGAATTCCTGTTTATATTTTGATGGTCTATGAAACTGATACTAATTTTTAGTGGTTCACAATTTCACATGCAGCAATACATTAATGTATGATGCAAAAGGGGAAAAAATCTCATATTAAAAATCTTCTAAAATGAAAGAGGAATTTCCAGTTCTGTTACTGATTTGACATGTTTTTGCATTGGTAAAGATTTAATCAGTGTTTTGTTTGTATTCAAAAATAGTATTTATAAATATCTTTACAGCAAAAGCTTTGACACCAATGGTAAATTGTCACCATAATACTTATATGGAAATATTGAACGTGGGTTGTTGTTGTCTTTGGGATCCAAGACTTTATAAAGGAGGGAGTAGTGTAGAAGTTTAGATTGAAGGTTGCCGTACTATTATTGACTAGTGGGAATTTCCTTCTAGTCAAGCAGTAGAGTGTCACTTGAGACCAAAGGGTCACTAGTCACAACCCCAGAGGTAGTACAGAGTTTTTCATTTCTTCTTTCTATTACAATACTGTCAATTTGACTTAATTATGATAAGGGAAGTTTAAAAAGTTCAATGTTAATTTAAAGGTGAGAGAGAAGCTAGTGTACGCATAGTACAAACAGAACTCATGGTTTATTTACATATTTGTACATACTTAAAGTTATATGTTCACTATTGCATGCGATTATGGTCATTATATGCATATACTACATAATGGTAAGGTCTCACTTATGAACAGTGTATAGAATTAATTACCTAGCATATAATACAGAGTACATATCATTTCAACAAGCAACCTTTATTTTATAGAGGGATTCTATCTTTAAAGCTAACAGTAATCTGATAAAACAATATAACTGATATAAATATACACATGTACACAGGGTCAAAATTTTATACCATTGTTTATACGAGTAGTGTTTCTTTATGAAAATGTATATGACTTTTAAGATATTAATATGAATTCTTTTGTACACAGTTTGAGTGTTCAGCTAATCAGAAATTTAGCAGAAATAAATACTGTGACAGGTGCTTTAAATTTGGGTTAACAAAATGAAGAAAAAGAAACACACCAGAAATTTAATTAATTTGATAAGAAGTAACAAGCATTGAACAACGTATCATACATAGAAATCATTTCATCAGGAAATGGTGTGTTTTGTGAGAATTTTTTTTTTGTTAATTTAAGAAAACAATATTTTCACAATGTTATTTTCACTTTTTCATGATGGATTGGACATTTCAAAAATGGGGATTGACTTATTCATTACTGTTGGCATATGTGCTGAAAATATGAAAAATAAGGGGATTGACCAATGGACCAATACCTGGTAAAAGATAATGTATACTAAGCTAGGATGTATTTTCTGATGTTGGAACTATACTGAAAATGGGTAGAACCAGCTGATATATCTCATTTGATCACTGAAATTTTTCACAAATTACAATAAATTGATTATCATGATTTAATCAAAATATTCAATGTATTACTGTCGTCTAAAATTACCTTCATTTCAGGAGAGTTCTGTTTTTAGAAAATCATTGTCAGAGCTCTAATCAATTCATTTCTTGAGGGATTGTCATCAAATTTCAGATACTTTAAAGCACTTTAATTTCTTGAACAGGTTTTCAGGGTTGTAGGGACAAGGTCTAGGTCACAATTATTACTTTTTGGAAAAAGAGTTTAACGAAGCCTCACACACTTACAATGGCCATTATCGCACTCTGGTGATCGAACTGTGTTGTATGCTTTTCATACATATTTTTTTTTTTCACAAATTAACACTAAACAGCACTATCTTTAGAAATTGTTGCAGTGTGATAGCTTATAGGAGCTGGTAGAGGACATGTATGATTGTTTAAACAATACTCAGTATGCTTTTAGATTTTAAATGATTTTATGTGATTAAGTGAAATCACATGTAAATGGAAATTCTAGAATTACTGTACTTGTATCTAACATCCACAAAATTTAGTTAGTTGATATCCCTGACTCATCAATCTTCTTTCATTAACTCACCATCATCAGATGGTGGGCTAATAAAAGTGCCCTACATCCGAGGTCCGTTGTCCATCTACCCATCCGTAAACAATTTTTGTTATTGCTATTTCTTGTGATGTCATGAATGAATCTTTTTCAAATTCCATAAGTCGGTTTCCATTGGTCCCTAGTTGTGCTAGTTTGATTTTGGGTCTGATCAGAAAAACAAAATGACTGACAGAAGATGATCTTGGATTTTGAGATTGTTATCACTATTTCTAGAGAACTACAGCAGAGATCTTTCTCAAATTTCATGTGTATGTTTCCCTTGATCCCTAGTTGTGCCTGTTTGATTTTGGTACTGATCAGAAAAAGGAAATGGCCACAGTTGGCCATCTTGTATTTTGAGTTGAAAGTTTGGTATTGCTATTTTTAGATTCCTCTTGATCCCTAGTTGTGCCTGTTTGAGTTAAGGACTGACCATGGAAAGAAAATGGCTGACAGGCAGCCATCTTGGATTTTGCCTAGTAAAAATTGTTATCCCTACTTCTTAAGAAGTATTTAATGGATCTCTCTGAAGTTTCATATGTGTGTTCCCTTTGGTCTCTACTTGTGTCTGTTTCATTTTGGGACGGACTGATTAGAAGAAATAAAATTGTTTCCAGGCAACCATTTTGGATTTGGCAGGTAAAGATTATCATCACTCTTTCTGCAAAGGAATGTCCATACTTCCTATCATTAAGAGCAAAAACAGAGAGGAGAAGAGAAAAGAAGGGTAAAGATCCAACTTTCAGAAAGCAAATAAAGATCAAGCAATGGAGGGTGCCATTATCCCTCTGGGATCTCTTGTTTTTCTAATATGTTTATGAAACAAGGATACCAACTAGTTCATTGTAAATATCATTGATCCTGAATTGATTGAATGCAATCAAAATTCATTGGCAACCTTGACATTGACCTGTTCTGTGTCCGAATATGAAAAACATTGCAGAAATACTAGTGTTTGCTTCACTCACTCAGTGTTATAGGCCTCCATCAAATATGATGGAGATCATGTAACTAGATGTTGTCTGTCCATCCATTCATCATAGACTTTCGTTTGGAGGTTCTCTTATTTTTCTCATCACACACATCTCTTAAAATTGAAACTTTGTAGACTTCAATTTGCTGCTTTGGCATGAATTCAAATTGTCAGGTGTGGTCTATTCAGTTATGTCTAGTGTCTTAAATTTATACCAAACAGTCTCATAGAGACTTTGTAAGCTTCATCTGACCATAACAAGATATTCAGGTGTGTTTTCCTGATTGGCAAATGCATCTCCGTGAACAGTTTTGAATAGAAAACTTGGTATATATAGCCAAGGTCTACATTGCTATAGTTCAGTGGAGTCTGGTCTGTAAGACGGATGAAGTGCTCATGCACTGGTGGCTTGGCTGTTGTTAGATGGTAACTGCTACATGGTATTGATTTAGTATACTGTCATGTATGTAGGGTAATCTCACCACCCACACATCATGTAACGATTATCTTTTGAAATATATTTGGATTAAAAAGTCAACACCACATAATGTAAAGATGATTATAATTATTTTAACTACTCTTTTTGCTGTTTTCATTTACATTGAGTTGTTACAGTCTGCATGATCTTTGGATAGAATAATTGTGCTGATGTTCTGCTGACTTGTCTTACGGCTGTAGGATAATGATGTCATGATGCTCACACAATTAATGGTATTTAGTTACAGTTTTGACAATCCAATTATTCATTTCCTGTTTAGTCATGAAAATATGTGAGTTTAAGAAATATGTTGCTATTGTCTGTCCATAAAGATTGATTGAAATACAAAAAGTATGTCTTCCTGTCTTACAGTCA